TATGTAACCAATAAAACCCTACATCCATGACCCTTAATATCCATTTATTCAATTGATCTTACCCAGCCAATTTTCCAAATTTCAACCAGAACCTTTCTCATCACCCTATATCCCGTTTTTGAACAATCCCTATCAAGCACCACCCATCCCTACATCCCCATCGTAGGTTAAAGCGGCAGTGGCCACGAGCCTTTGTAAATATGGATAATTTGGAGTTCTAAGCAATAGTCCAGAATTCTCCACTCAGTCATGAGTGTCTGTGGCTGTAGCGCTCATTACGCATCCTCCGCTGGTTAAAATACAATGAAGTGGCTGAGGGAGAACGTAGGATCCCTATGGCCCTCCCTTTAGTCCTCCACATTGGAGGGGACAGGGTAATGGTTGCGGAGATCACCTGTCAAATTGGTAATAAGGTAGTTATTTTATATTAAGGTGTTTTGTTTTACTTTTATTTCTATTTAATTACTTATGTGTATATATATATATTTTTTCTTACTCTTTTTTCTTTCTTTCTTATTCTTTTGTTATTACGGTTATTATTTAAAATTTTGTATATACGTATGAATGCACATCTCTGAACTTCTATTATAAAGTGTCCTTAACTAGTACAAATTGTAATTTTTCTGGAATAAAGTGTTTTAATAATAAAAAAAATCTGGAAAAACGCTAAAAAATAAGTATACTTAGATATTTTATTGGCGGAAACATATTATAGTCCTAAGTAACTAAATCAATAAAATTAAGAATTAAGAAAAATAGTCATAACCCTCCTCCATCCCTCCGATTATTTGGAATGGAAGTGTTGTAGAGTAAAGGCAATTTATATATTGTTACACCAACAGGGGTGCCCAGAAAGGGGTTTCATTGGGCAAGTTGCGCCATCAAAATTGTTGAGGGGGCATATTATAACGGTTTTTCAATTTTTGAGGGATGCAAATTTCGACGGAGTTGAATGTTCGGACTAAGGGACAAGGGAAAAAACATGGAATATACCGCAGCAAGCACTAACGGATCCAGGATTTTTTTTTTTTTTTTTTTGAGGGGGCTTCAGTCCGAAAGCTTCTTTTTTTCATATACATAACGATAATTAATTTGAAAAAAAAAGTAAGACACTAACTACTTATATGACATGGTGTTTTAATGTTTCTTGAGGTCCCATTAAATGTAATTACACGAACAATAATACTTTAAGAAATAGTTTTTAATATTTTTTCCTATAAAACACGGTTATATTTTATCATTTTGGGGGAGGGAGGCTTCAGCAATGCGCGTTGCCAGGCAACCTGATAACCGAAGTTGGAAACAATAAAATAATTATAGTTCGCGTCCCGCTGCCCGAAGCGTCTTTTAACTCTGGCATTATCCCCCGTCCTCACCCCCTGGCCTATAAAAAAAATATATATATATAAAAAAACACCCGTAAATTAGTTAGGAAATATAAAATTAATCAATTAATACAAGACTAGAATGTTTCTAAATAGAATGGAAGTTAAAAGTTAAAAGAAAAATGACAACAAAAAAATATATATATATGGATGACATATAGAATAATATTTAGGAACCACAGGAAAAATTTCTAAAAATGCGGAGAGTCCCAAAACGTAAAATATCTAACGAAAAACATGAGTTATAAAAGAATTTACCCTAGGAGGCAGATTTAATTTGTTTAATGCCTTCAAGAAATAATATTAAAAATCGTGTATTAATTTATAATAAAATTAATCATTTCAATGTTTAATTTGAAACTCTTTAACGCTACCAACACTACATTACATTTTTTTTTAACGCCATAATGTAAAATTTTGTGTTCAGCTTGATTTAATCACAAATATAATGAAAATAATAATTATTGCATGAAACACGCTCCTTAAAATATTATTACCTTAAAAATAAAAAACAGTAAACATTTATATTCAAGTTTCGTTGTTTTATTTTTTATTTAGTAGTATATACCTACCTCGTCTATTAATGGCTTGATAGTTAAACAAAATAAAAACTGATTATTCGGTTGGATGAAAAGCCTGTTTTTGTTTGTTCATCACTTAATTTATAAGACACCGTTAAAGAAATCTGTTAAATTAAGACCGTATGTTTTGATCTCAAGGAATACTGAGAACCGATACCTTCTACTAGACTCAGTTAAGTAGAAAATGACCTTATATTAGACTTACTTATTTAAACCTAGTTTTAGAAAGCTCCTTCTAATTAAGTTTAACTTTATGAAATCTCTATCCTTGTTGTGATAACTTCTATTTTTTTTTTGATAAAAAAAAATATTTTTATTTAAAATAAAAATTCACGAAGACTCAAATATTTTTTATATGAATTTAATTTCATTAAAAATTATTGGAAGGCATCAGGGACTGATAATATATCTGCTTGATCGGTGATAAATAGTGAGAGGAATATGTAAAGCATGACGGAAAAGGGACAGCTGGTAAAAATACAAAGGCAACCCTCTTCAAGAAGCAGCATGCTCATATTCGCTTACAGCAAGATTTTTATCCCCAACATTCTCGTTACAATATAAGTGGTTGTTGGTGCCAAAATAAGATACCAGAGCGGGTTTAGACAAAGAAATCTCCTTAAACCAGCTGAACACACTGATAATTATTATACTCCTAGTTTTAGACTTCGCTCGATTCTCAGCTGTGTCAGTTAACATTTATTTTTTGAAATGTACCTAACGTCTAGCGATCGTTGGCACAAAGGAGATAACAGGATTGAAGGTAGCAAATAAAGTAACTTATCATTTAGCATAATAGTCCTCCTAATGACTAGTCTAGCGATATTAACTATTTGATGGCTACTATGGTGTAAATAATAATTCAAATGTCTGTTACTGCTATCGTTTCTTCTGGTTCAAAAGAATATGGAGTCTGAAATGTGTTATATTTGATTCTGAAATTTCAAATATTAATCTACTGTAATAGTAAAAGAAGGATCATGAAAACATAAAATCGCGCATTTCTAATTTTTTAAAGTGTTGCTAGGATCCAAATCAATATTAAAAAACCAAATTGGCAAGTTTAAAAACTAATGTTAAAGCCAACAAAATAAACATTTAAATTTATTATTTTCAATAATGAACCACATTGTGATCGAACAGAAAATGCAAAAACTTAACCCCTTCTCAAAATTTGAGGTTTTACGTTTCAGGATACGTAGAATTCGAAAAACGAATAAAAATTTTGTTGTCCGTCCACCGTCCGCGCATTTTCTCTGAAACTATTTGACTGATTTTTTTCAAATTTGGATTTAAAATCAGAGATCACCAGAGGATGATCCTTCTTCATCGACATTTCTACCCGCCTTTTTCCCTTCAAGGTGGCGACTGAAAAATCTGCTTTGCTATAGACTATAGCGCCTAAACAAATGTACCGATTTCAATGAAACTTCGCTAAAGTCTTATTCTCGTTGCCCTTTCAATTTATCTATACAACACACTTCAACGAAAAAAATCTGGAAAAAAATTTACGAGAGATGGTAAAATTATATTCCAAATAACTCAAAAAGTAAGCACTTTCAATTTCCTTAAAAACAAAAAAAAATCGGACAATTAGGAGCAGAGATATGGTCTCTCGATATTTTTTATATGTTCTACTGCAAATGTTATATCCTTTTTTTTTTTTATTTTGATTTGTTTGTGTTACTGAAGTAATGCTAATTTTTTTTTTTTAACTTGGATTATTTGTTTATTGATAAATATTACAATCTGGCTCAATAAAGGACATTTATAATAGAGTTCTGAGAGCACATTCACACCACATTTACAAATTAAAAAAAATAAATAAATAAATAAGCTAATTTCAAATAATATAAAGCTAAAAAAGAACAAAATAAAATATCATGGTGAAGGAAGAAAATATAAATAATAGTAATAATAGAATAAAAATAAATCAATAAAATAGAATTAAAATTATCTTAAAAAAAAAAAGTAATGAAAATAAACATCTTAGATGCAGGCATACCTATTACTTTACAGTCGGCCATGGGAACTCCGAACCATACTTATCCCCCCACATGTGGAGGGAAAGCGAGGCTTCAGGAGATCCCTGCACTTCTTCCTCAACCACTTCACTGGTATTAAAAGCCAGCTGAGATTGAGTAAGGGCGCTACAACCACAGACACTCATGACTTGAGTGGAGAATCTGGCCATTGCCAGAACTCCAATATATACATGTTACAAAAGGTCACGGGGCAACTGCCATTTTAGCCTGCGAGGAGCATTGTAGGGATGAGTGGTGCTAGATAGGGATTATGCTACGAGATTAGGGTGATGGGTAAGGTTCTGATGAAATTTGGAGAATTTGTCTTGGATAAGATCAAGAATAAATGGAATATTAAGGTCACTAATGATTAAAAAAATATATATATTTTTTTTTCTTTGTCACTAGGAAGGTAATGTTTCTTTAGATGTATAATTGTTAGGAAATAATAAACCATTGTGAAATAATTTGCAGAGTTTTCCGTTTATAATAACTCCAAAACTATACATATAACAAAAAACATTTCTATTCTTATTTCTGAAAATCAATATGATATGAGACCGGGAAAATAAGGACTGAAGATATCTAAAGAATGTTAAGGGTCTTTGGTGATTTTAGGTGAAAAGCACCTAATAAAAAGAATAACCAGAACAAAATTCAGACTCAAGAGATTTAAGAATATTTTCTCCTTCCAGGTAATTGGGGAGTTGGGACCAAAGCAAATACGAGCTAAAGACTTTTGAATGGTTCACGTCTTAGGCTTAAGGAAAATGAAGAATAGTGTATTTTATGAATACAAAGTTACTTTTAAATGTTTTTTGTTTTTTTTAATTTGGATTAATTTATATAAATTAATTTTTGTCAAAACATAAGATTACCTACTTCCATAACGTATCTTGTCGACCATAATTAAACAATATTTGACATTTCAAGTTTTTTTCTAAATCTGATGATTATGTTTTTGGTCTCGACGTTATATGTTATACAAGGATAAAAATCGTAATACTCACGTTCATCGCTCTCCACCATCTCCTCCATCTCATCCATTTCGTCCATTTCGTCCATTTCCTCCACCTCCTCCTCAGTTACTACTTGCTGGTGCTGCTCGGGGGGATTAAGTTCGAACTTGGCTTCCAAGTTAAGCCCTGAAAATATAAATTATTATAGGATTTAAAAAACCCAAAAAGAAGTTATAATACAATTAATATAATATTTCTCAAGGAAGTTTGATTTTTTTTTAATTTATATTTAATATTTAATCCATAAGTGGACTGATAAATAGGATCTGCGCCGGAGCGTGGAGGCAATGTGTTTACATTTGGATTATTTTACTTTGATGCACCATTTATTACACCAGTGCTCAATCAGGGAAAGGTGTCTTCAAAGATTTAAAGATGCTTTTTCGGGATGATAGGACTGAGTTGGATGATAGGATGGCGATATCATCAACAAATGTTGCAAGGTTTCGGGATGGACAGGGATATGAGCGGTAAAAGGGATATAAAGGACGGGGCCCCAAGACGCTACCTTGAGGAACACCGGCTTTAAATGTGTAAAAATTGGAAAATTCTGTGCCACAGCAAACTCGAAATGTCGATCAGGGAGGTAGGAGCGGAGGATTAGGTTCAAGAACTGGGGTACATGAGTTTTCAGCTTGGAAAGAAGTCCGGCGAGCCATACCCGGTCAAAAGCTTTAGCTATGTCTAGAAATGCACCCGATCAATATTGCTTGCTTTCCAGCGCTACAGAAATTTGATCGACCACTCGGAGTCCTTGTTGGACTTTGGAGTGTTTTGAACAAAATCCGAACTGATGGGAAGGAAGATTTTGGGATTCTATAATGGGTAGGATTCGTTTCAGGAGGATCTTTTCTAAGATTTTTGAGAGGATTGGAAGGAGGCAAATTGGTCGGACGTCGAAGTGTTGGGAGGTTTGCCTAGTTTTGGAAATAGAATAATAGTAGAATGTTTCCACAAAAGAGGAAAGTGGGTGGTTCTTATTATGGTATTGTATAAGTATGTGAGAAATATAGCAGCTTTAGGAGGAAGTTGTTGGAGGTTTTGAGAGGTAAAGAAATCGTATCCAGAAGATTTACGGAGAGGAAATTTTTTAAGGTGATGTTTGACCACAGAAGGATTAACTGCTTTAGGGAGCTAGGAAAGTGGAATGGGTGATGTAAGGAATTCTTCTACTGTTATGGTGTGGGTGTGGTTGGATTCCGGATTAGAGGTGAATGTTTTGGAGAGGTGTCTGGGGAATTCCTCAGCCTTGTCTTTATCAGACGCTGCCCAGGAGCCATCGCATCGACGGAGGGGATGTGAAATATGATGGGATTTTAGCATTTTGTTGGTGATCTTCCATAGAGGATTTTCATGAACAGAGAGGAAAGTAATTGTTGGTGTCTGTTACTTTTAATATTGTCTGTTACTTGAAATTGATATGATTTTAAAGGAAATGTGTTTCAGTGCTTTATTTTGATAGATTAATTTTAGGTGTTTACATGCAGTTGCTGAGTCTGTCAGAATCACTATTTTTTAGTTATTGGTGTATCTCTTTTCGCTGTATATTATGGCGTTAAGAATGGCATATAGTTCGGCGCTGAAAATACTGAAATCAACTGGTATTGATAATGAAAATTTCTGGTTCTTTTGGGAATCATACTCAGCTAAAGAAGTTCAGTTACTTGTTTTTGATGCGTCCTTATAAACTTTAAGATAATTATAAAAACGTTCGGTTATTATGTTCAGTGCTAATTGTTTAAAATAAATTGATCGGTAGGGACTTTTCTTCTCTACTTAACTAGCTAGATTAAAGGAGCTATGAATATTAATTAAAGATTTGGGAATGGGCGTTGTGTATTTCAGAGGAGCTTCAAAAATGTGTAGTGACTTGAAAAGAGGGTGCAATTCCTTTATAATGACGGATATTTGGTGACAGAACACGTGGCCACTTCTAATTCCTTCTCCTACAGGATGATCATTGTCTGAATAGACTTTGATAATGTACTTTTTAGTTATTCATGACCTTCTGATGTGGAGAAGTTTTAAAAGCACCCAAACATAATCTAATGGCACAGTTTTGTGTTTTATTCAACTTATTAATGAGGGGGATTTTGTTTAATTCTATATGACACAGCAATAATCAAAATTAGATCTTACTATTGTTTTGTAGAGTGTGAGCATGTTTAAATTTAAATTTTCTTCGCTTTTAAATAGGTTTTTAAATACACTGACTGGCAAAAAATTCCACCCACTTGATTTTTTTCATTGTTTTCATCTAAAAATATTTCTGCTCTGGATTGGTCTATTGTTTTTAATGAATAAACAGGTAATTGTTTGTTTTTTTTCAATTAGGAATGTTAATATAGAGGACAATAATTCTTAATCCTTAATTCTATGAAATGATTCTAGATTCCAATGCAGCACATTTCTTAGTCTCCGGCTTTTAATTTTTTCAATATTAAGTTTAAAAATGCCTCTTAGTGCTGAGGATGTTGCGCGTGGTGTGGCACTTATTGATGATGGACGTTCCATTAGATATGCAGCTAATGCCATCGGAGTTCCATATGAAACATTACTAGAAGCCGTCAGGCGTTTTCGGGAAACTGGTTCTTACAAAAGAAGGCCCGGTTCTGGATGGCCTAGGGTAACAGAACCACGGGATGACCGGTTTTTGACTTTGAGAATTTTACGAAACCGGCACCATACCGTTGTTCAAGCGATTCATCAGCTCGAAGAAGTTCGAGGTGTGCAAATTTCTGAACTTACCGCTCGGAGAAGATTAAATGAGTATGGATTAATGGCTTTTCGTCCAGTAAGAGGACCAGAGTTGACCAGAACTCACAGAGTAACACGGCTGGCTTTTGCTCGAGAACACAGCCATTGGACTATGGACGAATGGAGTGCTGTACTTTTTACAGATGAGTCAAGATTCGCTCTTCGATCTCCAGACGGCCGTGAAAGGGTGTGGAGAAGAAGAAACGAAAGATATGCAGCCTGTAATTTTTCCCAGAGCCAACCTTTCAACGTGGTTCCTTAATGGTGTGGGCTGGGATTTCAATGGAGCGCCGCACAGAATTGGTTGTTGTTCGTGGAGGGTCTTTGACGGCCATTCTCTATGTAGATGAGATTTTGGAACCTCATGTGTTGCCTATTCTCAACGAAATCGGCTATCGTTCTATTCTAATGCACGATAATGCCCGCCCACATGTCGCCTGCATAGTGCAGACGTTCCTTCAACAGAACAATATTGAGGTTTTAGCCTGGCCAGCATGTTCTCCAAATTTGAACCCCATTGAGCATTTATGGGATAACCTCAGAAGACGAATAAGAGCGCGTGCAACACTTCCTGATACACTGCAGGATCTTGAAAGGGCTCTTCGGGAGGAATGGGCTATCCCTTAGAAAAGAGACATTTGCCGACTGGTGGAAAGTATGCCGAGGCGCCTTCAAGAAGTAGTTAAGGCAAGAGGAGGAAACACGCGCTACTAAACGATGATGTAATTAATTTCTTTTAGAATAATAATGGTTCGTTTTTCAAATATTTTAATCTCTAATCTTTCTTACCCAATCATATTTTGGTTATTAAAGGTAAAAAAGATTATAAAATTCCATAAATACTAAGTATTATGTACAAATACCATGTATTATATACAAATACAACTTTACAGAAATATTTTTAGATGAAAACTTGGAAAAATCAAGTGGCTGGAATTTTTTACCTGTCAGTGTAGTTTCGCTGTTAAATAGAAAATATAGGTTTTTCCATTTCCAGGAGAGAGATTGTAAATATTTTTCCATTTAATCTTTTGAAATTTCTTATAGAATTGAATTTTTGTTACCTCTGGATTTTGCAGTTTTTTACTTCTATTATTATTTGTAAATGGTCACTCCCTAACGTTTCTGGAATTACTGCCCAGGTAAGGTTATGATAGAGATCGGCTGTGACAAACGTTAGATCTCCTCTGCAAGTGTCATATTCTTGACCACCGAAAATGAGGAGTGCCTGTTAAAATCCCCTCTCACCACTACTATTTGGAAATTTTACGCGCTAATCAAAAAGGTTTTCGAGATTTCGAAACTATGAAACTATGATGATGGAAGGTACTGTGTTAAGAAGTTTTATCCCTACTGATTCAATTGTTCCCAGATTTGGTAAGTCCATGATTTCATAAAGTAACGAGGTATGGAGAAAGATGCCCACTCAACCGTACCTCTCTCGTATGTTTTTTTTTATTATGTTATAACCATATTTCGTGTAGTAGAGCTATAAGAATGTTGTTTGTATTAAGATAATTTATGATTTCAGAGAATTTATTATTTATGCTTCGACAATTATGCTGAAGAATTTTTATGTTATTATCTATCATATTAATTCTACTGTTTGCCATTATAAGGGGTTAAATTAAGAAATAGCAGGCTGTCTTTTTCTATTATTATTCGAGCTATTGAATTAATTTAGTGATACTGTAGTGATAGGATAAAACTGAGATATTGATATACATATTTAAAAATCATGCTTGGCATATAATTGTATAAATGTTTATAATTATTTGCTAGATGGTAGATAAAGTATGATGAAATATCCACGAGCCTTGGTTTAGTCCTTATTCAACAAACATATCAACAATTGTTTTAACTCATAATAGATTCTATAATAAAATTGTTTTGCTGGACGAAATTGTAAAAAGTTTGTCATATTATATTCATTGTTTCCTGTTCCTTGTCGATTGTTTAAATTTTATTTATTGATAAATTTAACAAATTAATATATTTAGAGTCAGCACTAACTCGATGGGGGTTATCTGTGATTAAGAGGGGAGGTTATTATCGGTGTTTTACATGGAGGCTCCCACAAGGTTCGTGCTTTAAAAATCTGCTAGGTTGTTGTTCAGCCTCTAACGTTTCAAATTTCTGTATTATATTTTAACAAATGTTTTTTCCTGAATTCTTGTATTGGCTGTATTGTAATGATATGAAATATTTTCGTCAAAATCCTTATTTACTGATAATTGAGGAAAATCTAGTGGGAAAATTTATTATAAGAGGGAACCGGAAATAAATTATTCGCTTCCTTGTAGCTAAGCGGTTTGACGGCCATAGATTCTTTTATTTTCCTTTGCCGAATTGCTTCTGGGCATTCATTGTATGATGGAAGATGTATGCAATTAATCGCGTTCACACATGCCTCTGCGGTATGACCATTAGAGCCACATTTCATACATCTTCCTTTTCCTCTACATTTTTGTTTGGTGTGACCATATCTTGAACATTTTTCACAAAGGAGGGGCATAAAGATATATGGGTAAACTTTCCTTGGGGCAGATTAAGAGCAACGTTGTCAGGAACACTTTGAGCACGAAAAACAAGCTGTAGTAGTAATAGTACCGACGGAATTTTTAATTTTTCTATTGAAACGGCAAATTTAAACTATTTTTTCAGTTGATTGAATTTCACTGAAAATTTCTTCTTCAGAGAGAGCTAGGTATACGTCTCTAATTATTCCATATTTTAAAACATAAGAATTCGGTATAAATGCTTTCAGTTCATTGAATTCAAGAAATAGATATTCTAAAAATCGGTTGGCATATTCGTATGTTTTAAAGTTAATTTCAATTTGTTGTTTATTTTCCTTTTTCGACTACAGTTTTTCCAATCGTCACATCATGATAGCATGATATGTTTTCATCGGTAGAGTTTTCAACTAAAACAATGATGGAGCCTTCAAAGTACTGCAAATATTTATGTTTATTTTTTACTTTCCTACCTATACTAGGTAAGGAAAGTATTGCAATCCGGTCAAATTTCCGAAATGCGGTTTTCGACGGATCTATACGTTTCACGGCCCCCTGAGTCCGAAAAACACATTTTTAGCCATTGGTCTGTCTGTCTGTGCCAAGATTTTCTCGGGAACTACTGAACCGATTTTGTTGCTTCTTTTTTTATTTTGTAGGGTTTTGATTACTGATGCCTGTGGCAGAAATTCGTTGCTCCTTGCGCAACAGCTTGGGCGCAATATATGAAAAACATGTTTTTCTATAGACTGTAGCGCGAAAACGGCTCTAACGATTTTGATGAAACGTTTCTATGATGTTCTAATCATTGTCCTTTCAATTTTCGTATATAGACTAAATTCCCGAAAAAATTCAGGAAAAAAAGTTATAAAGAAAAGCAAAATGTTATGGGGCTTAACTCCCTAAATATATATTATACGGTGAAATTTACAATAAAACTTTTGAAAGGTAATTAAATTACCAACAAAACAAAAAAAAAAATCATCGGAATCGAACCAGTATTAGCGATGATAAAGCTTATTCTTTTTTTTACTTATTTTTTGAACTTATTTTATTACTTTCCTACCTATCCTTGGTAAGGAAAGTATTGCAATCGGGTAAAATTTCCGACATGCGGTTTTCGACGGATCTATACGTTTAACAGCCCCCTGATTCCGAAAAACACATTTTTAGCCATATAAAAATCGTTCATTTTGGACAACTATTAACGAAGTTACAGCGATTCAATTACCAATGAAAGATTATTAGTTCATTTCCTGGTGTCAGAAAGGGGTGAATAAGAGAATAAAGATGACTAAGTGAAATTAAGAAATTCTGTTGCCCGCATCACACAACCTTCACTATTTCCTTTACTTTTAACAGAAATTATTGCTTGACAATACTAAGCTATGGCAAAAAGTTTTTGATCAGCAATATTAGTGAGTATTGAAATTTTTACACTGATCTACCTTAAGCTGGTTTCATTGCCTTAATTTATCAAATAAATCGTACTCAAATCTTTTGTTTGATTAATATTCAGGAAAATAAATTTAGTTCAATTCTTTTTTGTTTCTTCATGAACATATGTAAAGATATAAAAACTTTTCTGAAATAGGTAGGAAAGTCGTGTGAGTGGACACACCAGATTTTTTTCATTATGTACTACCGGTGTATTTAATGGTTCATCAGAGGGCTCAGTTCCCTCGCCACATTCCTCCATGACCACGAATAGGTAAGATATTTGTTGAAAACTTTAAATAATCGGAAAATAATGGAAACTAAAGAGATATTAAAGAGAAAATAAAAAAAGATAAAGCTGGCCTGAAGGTAGTTGGCAGTAGGCTTCTGAGAAGTCGGCTCGCACTGTTCCACTGTCAACGAGGGGGCTTTTGTTCTCACACTATAAATATTTCGCAACTTCAAACAGATAAACTGTTAACACTACCACTGCTCGAGCAAGACTGTGCAAAATTCTTATCACCACTCGTAACGGTCTCTCTGCTGATACGTATGAAAGAAAATTCATATTCGTTTCTCATAGATACTTCATTAATTTTTGGTAGGTTCCAGCAGTATTTGGTGTTATTTTTGTATCGTTGGTCTTGTTGAGGCAAGAATAACTGTAAGAGCAGATTTTGTTTAGTTGTGTACACAATAACTAGAAATTATTAAAGAGGAGGCCTCGATTCCCAGGGTATTGATGCAGACTCCATTACTTCTCTTTCATTCTGAAATATTTGGAACGGGTATGGAGTAAAGAAGGGAGATTCTTCAACCACTTCTTGCGAAGAAGTACCTGGTTGAGGCTAAGGTTCTGAGGTGTTTCCCGTACGCTGCGACGAGTTGTTTGTTTGGCTGGTGAACCACGATGGGTAGAGCCTTCTGACCCAGAGGAACATTAGTGGGCACTTTACTGGACATCACTTGGTGATAATACTGCATATCATAAGAGAAGAAAAACAAAATAAAAAAAGATATCAAACAGTAAATATGAACTGCTCTGTTGGACATGTGAACTGTAGTCAGTGAATAATCAGAGAGATTCCACTGAAATATATGCAAAAACTGAGAGACGAGTTGAGAACAAAACCTTCGCATCAAATGATCCACTGCCTTCTGTTTAAAAATTAAAAGAAAATCTGAAATTAGTATCGAGAAAAACAATAATCATAAATATTAAAAACTTTTGGAAGCCATATTAACTATTATGTGAGAAAATTGTTAAACGATCAACGACATTGAATTTTTATAATGAACGTGTTCGTATTTTGAAAATATATAGGAAACTAGATTTTTTGACATTTTTCAGAATGGAATACTACACCTAGGTACAGGCTTGGAATATTTTAAATAGGAAAACTATTTTTAAAAAAAAAGCCCATAAAAATTATGCATTATTTTTAGGATTCCAGTTTATGATATATATGAACAACAATAATGTACGTAGAAAACAAAATTCTAAATCAGCTTAGATTCTTCAATTCCTAAGATTTTGGGCATTTTTATAACTGTTTGGTTACTTTCTGAAAACCTACTAGTTAAATTTTATCAAATTTAAGTCATCCTTATAAATCTGAAAAAGTCTATTTTTTCCTGCACGTCAACCGCACATGCCGCGTCAAAATTAAAAGTCAACAACCCGTTTTTGAAATTATAGATAGCAGTAGACATACAACTTTTTCCTGTTACATTTTTTTTTTCAAACCATCCGTAAGACCGTGAAAAACATTTGCACTCTGTATAATAATTATAAAAGATTACTACTTTAGACGTAAAATCACGCAATTTTTTTTATTTCTTACTGATATTTCGATAATCATTATTTGGATAATAAACACATCGTCGGCACCACGTAGCGCATTCGTTACTTTAACGCGGTGCCGACGATATGTTTAATATATACATCATAAATTCATTAAATTTTAGTTATATATAATTAAAAAATGTAAATAAAAATATAAATGTTAGAACAAACATTAAAATAAAATAAAATATATTTATGTATGTGTATATAGATAGTTTATTGAATATTTGCAACAATATATTTCTTAAATGTATTATTATCCTTCGTATAAACATATATTTGTTCGCAGACATGATGTAAACCTACAGTTACAGTTTTTCTATTTAGCTGATATAAATCATATAAGAGCAATAATATGATTGTTTTAATAATTCCTTATCTGAAACTAAATATTACTAATTTGTCAAGATATTAAACAAATATCATACCCCAGTCTCCCTCAAATTCTTTGAAGAGCACCATGGTTACAAAATCTGAAAAAAAAAAATAATGATTATATTTTATATATATTTTATATTACATTATAAAATCTAAAACTAAATTAAAAATTATTAAATTTAATAATAATGATTTCTGAAGCCACTTTCAAATATTTGTATCAATGTCGAACTTATTCGACTTGTTTATTACAATTATGTTCTTAATTCAGTCATTTTCCGTACCTTAATAACCTTAAAAATTGGGGTTGGAACTTGTATAAAACTTTTTTCAAAAGTTCCATTTTTACAATTTCTGTGAAACTTAGGAAAAAATTTCTAAAAATAAAAGTTCCGTAAGGAATTTTTGTGTTATACATTTCCAAGTTTACAGTAAAAATTTAACTTTTATTTACTCAAGTTCTTAAAAAAAAAGTTTCGTTAAATAAAAAATAAACATTAATTGGGCTTAATTAATGTCAGGCAGACTTGCATACGATTTCTTCCCATACGTCAGGATAAGGGTTGAGAATGCCTGGATAGAGCCAGATTTCTGGACTGCTCAACTTCTAACAGGACATGGTGATATAAATTGGTAGTTACTCTTCTTTAATAGAAGAGACAGCCCAAATTGTTGCTGCGAGGCAATTGAGGACGCTACAGACCTGCTTTGAATGTCCTATGTATTGGCCAACCAACACCCGACAAATATTGGCAGGGGAATATTTCTTGCTGGAATGGCCCCCTCACTCCCTGAACAGACTTCTAGCTAGAAGAGTAAGCATATTCGAAGAAAAAAGAGCATGAGATATATATAAATATCTGAATATTGATGTATTTAATGATATTTTTATAACTATTATTGTTATTATTTAATATAGTTATTTTACAATTTCGTTATAAAATTACAAATAAACTGTTACATAGGCCCACCAAAAGTATGTAGGAAGTTACTGGAGTCCTGTTTGGTGGAAACAGCCCTCCAGTTGAAGGCAGCCCATTAGTGTAGGTATACCAGGTATTAATGCCCCATTTAAAGTGAGGTCGAATTTTGCCTCACCTTGACTCAAGAAGTAGGATGTGTAGGAAAGTGGGTGCAGGCCTGCCCGCTCGGTTACCAATCCTGGTAACCGGGCTCTATTAAAATTGAGGGAAAAATATTATAGTTAGATAACCGGATGTACCGCTGGTATATGGTTGCACTAAGATACAGCGGAAGGGAAGAACGGAAAAAAGAAGAGAGTGAGAGAGTCAATCCTTCAGCCCGAAAGTCTGCTTCTGCCTCCCCTCCGCTGATCAGCCACTGCTTCCGAAGATTATCAAAAAGCAGTATTTCCTAAAAGATAAATGTCAAGGTATCAAATCAATCACTGAAATTTGATTCGAACAAACTCTGGTCGTATGTTACATGGCGAGCGTTACAACCGTTATTAATTTCACCTGCGACATTGGTAATAAGAAGTACTGGGAATCTTACGAAGGATCGTGTCCAGAGGAAGGGAGGAATAAAATGGAAACCTAAACCACGAGAAGTCACATATTAATGTCAGAGTCAAAGCTTCTTAACCTTTTATAACCATATGAAAAATTCCCTGCTACCTACGCTGAATAAACCTTGATTGAATGAATATAGAACAAAAACAACCAAACGACTCTCTCTGACGCTGTAGTGAAGAATACATCACTAATTTATTCGAGACTGATTTAGAGATCTTACCGCCCTTTTGCGGCCTCCCATTGGGTGCTTTCATTTAGATGCAAATGGGAGACAGATGTAGTCTTATCAACCCTCTTGTAAATACAAGCAATTACTGACGCTCTAAAGATTGGCATCTAATTGGAAGGAATGAGACGTGAAGCAATTTCCTCCAATCGCCGCTCAAACGCCGCTATCTTAGTGATTACTTCCAGTCCTGATCATCACGTAGAAATTGGCTACCTTCAATATTTTGAGATCGATAAAATTTGACCGAAGACAAAATTCCGACTAGGTTTGTTTGTTTTGACAAGTATACCTAAGTATACTCCACAATCTCAATAATTCATGTATCTCACTAATTTGAAATAAACTAATGGTTCTTTGGAAAAATCGGGGCTATTGGCAACAATTCAATATATTTTAGTCCCCTCAGTAATGCGTAATGATTGTCGTATCCAAGGCTAATTAAATATCTTATAATTCTTAAGTCGTTGTTAACAATCCCGTTTATTTAGAAAACAATTTCCTCTTCCCACTCTTCAATTATCTGAATCATGTTACTTTACATTGGATTGGATATTCTTCATGTTTATCAAGTTCAGTGTAGATTTGCCATAAATACATAACGTATGAAATGAAATGAAATAAAAATGAAATGAAATGAAAATATTTTTTTTTATTATCCTGGGACTGTTGTCCCTTTAGGACAAATTACAGATACAGAATAAATGCCTGTGTGGCCATAAATAAAATTAATTATTTACAAAGGAAGGAGATGGTCCGGGGTTGCGGTCATAAAAAGGCTAAATAGTGGTAAAACTATTTTATTGAAAGCCAACGTTTCGACCCGACTTTGCAGGTCTTCATCAGGGAGGTGTGTTCCTCTAGGAGTTTCACTTAGAACTCAAGTGAAAGAACTCCAGTTCTAAGTGAAACTCCTAGAGGAACACACCTCCCTGATGAAGACCTGCAAAGTCGGGTCGAAACGTTGGCTTTCAATAAAATAGTTTTACCACTATTTAGCCTTTTTATGACCGCAACCCCGGACCATCTCCTTCCTTTATAATGCAACGGTCAACCATTAAATATTCAATAATTATTTACAATTATTATTAAGATTAAGATTTTGACTATTACACAAAAACATACTGATATGTATAATACAAACGTGGGAAAATAAAATAGCATAAGTAAAGAAAATCATTTCTGAGGGAACTTTAAAAGTTCTCTTATCTACACTTAATGATCGATCGGGTTGGCAAAGGAGTAGGTGGTTAAAAAGGAGAGATTTAAATGAGAAAACTGATTGTACATGTCGGATATCTGGAGGGATGCTATTCCAGAAGGAGACGGCTTGAATTATAAAGGATTTATCAAACGCTACAGTTCGGTGGAGGTGGATAGAGGTCGGAGGTACGAGATCTAGTGAGACGGGATTGAATGGAATATTTGAATTGTAGGCTGTGAAAAATATAGGAATGCCGCTGAGTTCTGATGACTTGGTATAGAAAGGTAGCAAGGAAGTGCAGACGGCGGTTGGATGGATAGAACCACTTCAACTTGGTGTAATACTCCATCAGTGTCTTTCTATTTACAAAAAAAATAAATAAATAAAATTATAAAAGCAGTTGCCAATGGTGAAAAAAAAATGTGATGTGGACAAACGATTTAATACTCCTCCGTCTAAACTAACGTCAATTTTGCATAAGAAGATCATCGGGTTTTTGAAGGTTTTTTTTTTTTTTTTTTTTTTTTTTTGTATCAAAGGCAACAAAGTATATACGTTTATATTCTAGTTCACGTTGTTCATTTTTCATTAAAGGTATACATGTCTTGTACATTTTTTGTTTTCTATTGGCATTACAGCCTTGTAGATCTTTTGCCGGCTTAAAAAACAGCCGCCTCTTCTCCATCTCTTCCTATCTCGTGCTATTTCTTTCCCATTATCTTAAATCTAAGTAACCATGAACAGCAATTAAATAAACCACGATTTTTTTTTTTATTCGTGGCGGCTTTTAAATATTTACTTCGTTATCCTACACCAAGATTGGTGTCCCAGGGACCAAGAGTAGTACTTAAATAAAGTTTAAATTTATGCCTTCTATAAAGTAAGTTGAAATAAGATGTCGGTCATTAAAAGTTTATCCTCCTCTTAATGGGAACTTTTTGTTATTGCAGTACTTTTCTTTTTATTGCCACTTGGATTTAGCTGCTTTCCTATAAGGCAACACCGTTTCTTTCATACAACGCTTAACTTGGCCTTCACAGCCATTTTTCTTTATCTTTTATTCGAAGCCAACTTGTTTTAAACCTAGTTTGGAACTTGTACCATTTCTTAAGAGTTCTATTCAACTACTTCTAATAACTATCGTTTAATTTTTTTGGGGGAGGAAGGAGGAGGTTATCCCACTGTTTTTTTTCTTTGATATCGGTAATTACATGAATAGTAATGTTTTTACAGTTTGTTTGTCTTTTTGTATTTTCTTAAGAGAGGTGCTTACATTTAGTAGCTGAAGTATGTGCATCATAATTTGAAAATAAAATAAATGGTGATTTTTTAAGTATTTGGTACAAATCGGTCACAGAAGCAAATATCACCAATGAAAAAAATATACTAGTTTTGGGGAGTATTTCGTCGACAAGATGAATGCATTGAAAAATAAAAAATCATGAAAATAATTTATCATTTTTTAAAATCATGAATATGAAAGTAGGTAGATAATAATAGATCGTTTAAAATCCATGTATTTCAGATTGTATTCTAAACATTAAATTGAGAAGGAGTTAATCCGGGGGTGAGGTCAAATAAATACTAAATTAAAATATAGTAATTATTTAATTTTTGCCGACGTTTCGGCCCACTTTGCAGGTCGTCTTTAGGGCTACAAAAGATACAAAACATGATGAAAATAAAAAAATGAATATAAGTAGATATAAAATAAGAAGAAATGGCCAGATACAGAAATAAAAAGATGATATCAGAGATATAGTGGGTGACAATGTAGTTAAAATATCAAGAATTATTATGTATGTAGAAGATACAAACAAATGGAAGATAAGTATGAATGAAAATAAAAGATAAAGGAGAATATAGCATGTAAGTTAAAAGTAAACAGATTGTGATAAAAGATAAGGAATAAGTGTATAACAAACTAATAGAGTTTAATAACTGTGGGTTAACAGACAAAGAAAATGAATGTTAACGAATGGGCCGAAACGTCGGCAAAAATTAAATAATTACTATATTTTAATTTAGTATTTATTTGACCGCACCCCCCACTCCTTCTCATATTATATCAACGGTCAGCCATATCTACATCATTAAACATTAAATTGTACATATATTGTATAAATTACTAACTGTTTCATAACGATCTGTTATATAAAGACATAAATACATAAAATTACATGTATGTAATAATAATAAATATTCAAAAATGTTTTAATATTTTAAAACTTAGCTATTAAACTCTTGATATGTTTATAATAAGACGATTAGATGTTATCTGGTCAAAAATTGGGTCGATGGTAACTCGAATACGCTAGTAAAAAAAAATTAAATAAATAAAAATTAATGTTAGTCACTTGGAATTAAACTTCCCCGCGTGATAATCCTCAAGTTTCCATGGAGGCCGGCTGGGGCAAGGTTTCTTAGAACTGCTTTCAGAAGTTTAAACCCTTATTCACAATAGGATCTATCTAGTTTTTCGGGCGATCAATTTATTGAAACTTCGTAACAACTTTTATTTTTTATTTATTTATTTAGAAATATAACAATCTAACACGTGGAAAATAATTATAGTGATAGATGAACACATTCACACCATATATATAGAAAATATAAAACAACTATATTTATTTATAAAAACCGATGTTTCAACAGCTGTCTTACAATTCACTAGGAGAACCTTGCTCTGCTCAGCGAATTCCGTTAGGTTTGAACAAGAATACCGCCAAACCAGCTCTAAATAAATAAAAAAAGAAGGTAGTTTTCATTTCTTCTCCTATTATCTCATATCAAGGCTTTATTAGTGCGCCAATTAAGTTATAAATTATTGGACATAAAGGAGAAACGATATTGGTTTGTCAAATGTCCAACAGTAGCGTTAACGAGGTCCCAGAGAGTGCCGGTTCGAATCAGAGCGGGATGAAATTCATTTCGTGACGTACCCACAGAATGAATCACGACCTTCCCACTCTGGTGATGCCAGAAGGTGATGCATGGATTTAACAAAAAAAAAAAAAAATCTTTTAAAATTATATGTATTAGAGTGCTACCTATGGGTAGATTCTCTACAATTCTTTTCATGCTATTGAATCTCTCTGAACACATTTCCTAGATGTATATTTAATTTATACAGTTGTAAATTTCATGAATAAAAAAAAAATTATATGAATATCTTTTTTTTTTATGCTTAAATTTAATAAGAATAATTAAGAGGAAAAACGATTCTGATAAAATGAAAGAAAGTGTAATAATCATCATGTTGGAACTTCCTGTTAATAAATAAATAAATAATTTATTGTTTCATATTTTTGAAGAAAAAAAAAATGGGGTAGCAAAGTTGAAATTCATAATCATCACACATAAAAAAATTAAAAAAACTAAAAATAATTTCAGAATTTGTCCTGAATATTTTAGATAAAATGAGCATATGAATAAACCTATTCAGAGATATCCATGCCTGCCTACGATATTTGTCGTCACACCTTTCTATATGTCTGAAGGACCGCCCCCATTGTTGGTCGACGAATCCATGGGGGCGCTTTACACGTTTGAGCCCACTTGTGGATATACACAAGTGTATAAAAGCATTTACATGTCGAATAATAGAGGGTTGTATTTATCTTCTTTTTACATATCGCTGACGATTCAGTTCTCGAGAAAATAAACTTTTATACACAAAACTTTGTGTTTTCTCATCTGTGTACATTGTTCACAAAGATAGAGTTACGTTCTAAGGGGGATATTTATACAGCGGAGGGCGTTGTTCGATCGGCGATTCCATTGCCCGCAATAATAGTGGTCATAAAAAGAGCAGAATAAAATAATTAAAAAGGTTGTCTGTTGGTAAGCGTTGCAGGAAAAACCGGAAAAGGCACGTGGCTCTTCGATCATTCCTCATCTCACTAATATTTCATAATAATCAAATATTTTAAAATATGGATTATTTACCATAATCCAATCGGAATGTATGTATATATATTTTTTTTTGGGGGGGTCCTCCCCTTCCTCGCCGTTAAGGCTATGCGGGGTTTTCCCGGGCCAGAGGGTGTGGGCGGGGATTTACAAGACGCCTTGGCACCGGGACGCGAACTCGTGACTATTTTCATATCATTTATCATATATCATGTTGCCGGGCAACGGTGGCGCTGTGCACACGCTTTAGCCCATTCGGCCACTCCGCCCACTAGTGTACCAATACTTAAAATCCTCCTTGAAAAATGGGAATAATAAGATTTCAGGACCTGCTAGACCTTGATTTCATGAATTGTTGACTTCTATAATTTCTCCTCGTATATTTAAATTGTAAAGTTTACTACAAAAAAATTAAGAGATTTTCATTGCCTATCACAGGTCATAATATTCTACACTAATGTTAAGCGGATGATTTTGAGATTTCACAAAGAGAAAATTCATCAAATTATTCACTAATTTAATTTTTTAAAAGGTTAAATGAATATTTTTCGGAATAAATGGACGTTTATACCAAATTATTTAAATAAAATATCAGATCTAGAGTTATTAAACTACAGTAAAAATATTTAAGGTTATAAATATATGCTTAATACATTCATGAAATATTTCACTTCTTCTTTCCTGTAAGTACTATGATATAGTTTCTTAAACAGTTTCATTGCCTTGACTAGGTGGATTTTAAATACCTTTTTTTTAACTTAAAATTTTTTTACATTTAGTTAGTAAATTTCCTTGAAAAAAATGTGAATTCATGAGTTTTCACAAATTATTATTTATAATCTTTGGCCACTCTCTATTTTTTCTTCGGTCATAGGTCGAAAACGTCCTAAATAAATATTTTCCATTTTTCTCCATTTTCCAATTATCAAATTATTTCAAAAGTTATATTTAGCATTTTTTCGTAACTCTTAATAATGATAGATGGTTAATTACTTAAAATGAACCAAATTAAAGGTACTTTAGAGGAAGACAAGTTAAGCATTTAAGCATTGTAAAGTGACATCAATGGGGATTAAGACCTCAATGATATTAAAGGCCACATAATTATTCAATGATATTTTGAGTTTAATCAAAATTGTTGGAGCCGTTTTTGAGAAAATTGCTGTAACATCCAAGGAAATTACAAAATTTTCACGATCGCGATTCTGTCCCTTACTATATATTTCATATATAGGTAAGTGAAAAAAAAAAAACTCTATACATGTATAAATAAACTAAACAGAGAGAAAAAATAACAAATAAACAAATTGAAGATTAAATTAAATATTTACATAACAATAAGTAATTAAACATTAAAGTTCAAGAGAGAAAATAAACTGTACACATGTATATAAATAACAAACAGAGAGAAAAAATAAATGTAGTAAAATCAATTTTTTATTAGTAAGTGTTAAAGAAAGGTAGAATCGTTTATACAGGCTTTTTGTTTATTTCTATCTTATAAATAACAAAAAGGATAATAACTGTCTAATGCACATTTATAATTAAAAATATTGATTCTTTATTCATAAATGAATTTCTAATTAATAACAATAAATTACCTTCTGTGATACCATGATTAAAACTATATTAAATTTGGAAATAAAGCAAGCCTATTGGGTTAAAAATCTAATTAATAAAAAATTAAATTAAATTTTAATGTTTATTAAAATGAAGTATAATAACAGTGAAAATGATGGGGTGGATAAAAAATGTGAACAAATTATTAACAAATTAAGTCCAATCAATTTTAATTGCTATATTAAAAGTAAAATGGATAGGAAAATAGTTCCTTTTAAAAAAAAACCTACTATCAATAAAAGGGTCAAAAAATGTAATAAATAGATAGTAAATATGACAATATCTCCTCGATTAAGGGAAATAATACCATAAAAAAATTGAATATTAATAATAAAAAAGATAATAATGATAATATGAATGTAATAATAGAAAAATATAATAATCTTTATAAAAATAATTCAAGAGTAATTAATTTACCAAAAAATAATGTTTCAAATAATTTAATTATCTTGCTTTCACTTGGAGAAAATTTTAGTTTTGATAGTAAAAAAAATTGACAAAGACGTTATTCAGTTTATATAAAGTATGAACGTATATGCATTAAATGTTAATATTGTATTTTGTATAAAATGTAAAATAAAATTGTTGTATATATACGTTGTAAAATAAAAGTGTTTTGTTATTATTACATTTGTTTTTGTCCATTTCAATTTCCATAAACATGACATTTGATTTTGTTTATTTCAATTTCCATAAATATGAATACGAAGATAGGGTTTATCAATGCCTTATTAGTGTTCAGATTCACCCATCCCACCCGATTGTTTACAAGTACCTTATGACGTATTTGTAAAAGAACCGGACATTTTTGGAACTTGGTTTATATCATGAAACCTTCCATCCACTTGTGTGTAAACAATGTAAAGTGTGGGTGACATTTATAAATAGCTAAGTGTTACGTTATTGATTACAACTTGATATTTATTGTAAAGAAGATGGAAAAAAGAGGAAGAGGGAGAAAAACAGTCACTGCTTTCCATAATATCTCAGCATTTGAAAATAATAGAAAAAAAATAATGATGGATTGACAACCAATAAAAAAATTCTGCAATGGCTTTAGATCACCTGCCCAACTGAACACAGCCTATGTGAATTTTAAGAGGAAATTGAAAAAGAACAATGCAAATGACAAGATAGGTGCATCAAAACATTTCATATTAAAACAATTGAGGGGATTAGAATGATAGTGGTGACAGTGAAGTTTGCTTTGTTTTTAGAAATTGAATGTTTATTGTAGTTAATAAATATAAAGTTCATATGTTTAGGCTGAGTTCTATAAAACTGGAGGAGGGCCCTCTGAACCAAAACAAACTGATGAATCTAAAGCAAAAGACCTTCTTAAGGCCCAGTTGGAGCCAAATCCTTCTGAATATGATTCTTTGGTAAATTATTTATCCACAAGTAATCTTATAACCATATTTAGCAAGAAAAAGTGAAGCTATTGTTTGAAGAAGAAAAGTTAAAAGTATAGATATTAAAAGCCAAAGCTTTGCAAAAAAAAATAATCTGCTCCCAACATTCTTTATTTTATTGTGTTTTTATGTTTTTACAATTAAAAATATGTTTTAAAAATCGTTTTTGTTTTAATAGGTCTCACCTCACTCAAGTTATTTATGTGTGTAGTGGCTATTTAAGTTTATTTTTCTTATCAGTTTTGTAATTTGTTGATTTTTCTATTTTTTTGGTTATATGGATTGCTTCTATTTGTCCATTTTTTTTGTGTTTAAAAAAAATTGTAACAAATGTTATGTTGCCACTGAGGATCGGTAAAGAGCCCAAAATTTTAGACAAATGAAATAAATATGAATGAATGGAAGAGAGAATAAAATTTTTATAAAAATTATACCTACATGTATATTTAATAAAAGTTTTAAAATACTAAGGTGTATTTTTATTTATTATATCAATTTCATTTTTTTTATTTTTGACTGATAATGCACTAACATATCTAATATCAAATCAAAGATAAAGTATTTTTATAATGATAGAGATTACTATTCAGCGCCACAGTCAATGGTAATAGTAAAGCACTTTATGAAATAATTGACTTACAAAATGTATGTATGTAAACTTTTTTACTTTAGATAGCTACATCGATCCAACCAGAAACAGGGTTTTTTGTACACATATAAATTCAGAAGACATATATACTTCAAATCTTTTAGTAAACTAAAATAAGAAATATTGTTTAGAATAAAATTAAATAAATTAATACATTCCTTGTCAATTTGAAAAATTGGTATTAATTATTGCTCTACAAATAGGCATTTCATTATCAGCTGTAATTTCTTGAGTGAAAGCAGCATCTTGGATATCATCTTCTGGTATGAGGTAGACATCTTAAGTTTATAATACAATATTGGGCAAGACCACAACAGCAACAATAATATTTACTGCTTTTTCGGGTTGCATTCGTATACCATTGACAAGGCAAGGGATTCTTCTATTCATCACACCAAACGCTCTCTCAATTGTATTTCTTGTTTTTATGTGATATTTTATTATTATATTTATACACACATTGTATTTTTCTTCGGCTGCATTGCTAGGGTTTAAAATGGGGTATGTAAATAAGATTTGTAGCCATATCCATTGTCTCCAAGTAGCCAGAAATTCTTTAATTGTCCTGATTCAAATATTGCACATAATGAGCTTAAATTAAATATTCGACTGTTATGTACAGAGCCAGGTCAACGAGAAACAATATCAAGAATTTTTAAGTTCGTATCACAAACTTGTTGAATGTTTAACCAAAACCATCCTTTTCGATTCCGAAAGAGTTTGGCATTATCCCCATCTGGTGACTGAATTTTAATATGTGTGCAGTTGATTGCACCAATTACTCCAGGAAAAGATATAATTTTGTAGAAATTTCTTATATTTCTGTTCATATCCCCATCTGTTTGAGACATTTTAATGAGATATTTTGGTAATTTCGCAATAAATTTTGTTATACAAGGAATTATCCTACTCACTATAGATTTATTTATATTAATATGTTCGCCTAAAACTGTTTGGAAACTTCCAGTAGCATTATATCTTAAAGTTATGAGTAACTGGCATAAAGGTGTTACAGCCATATTTCTGTTGTGAAATGTTATATGATTAATCTCAAAAATTAAGCACTGATTCTTTTGAAAACCTAAATCTAGATTTGAATTCAGATTCATCATAAAAATCAAAAGGATCATTTCTTACTCTGTACAATTTGTTTTTAGGAGGCAGATTGGTAAGAATTATAAGTCTTCATCCGATGATTAACTTTCTTCTGAATAATGTTCTTCAGATGAAATAATATTTGTAGTCGTCTTAAAAAACGTAAAAAAACAAAAACACTACACCAGTATTCCCGAAACAAGCAAATATTAGTTTTTAGAAGTATTAGTTAAAACGATGTTTGAATTTTTACGAGTTGATAAAAGGCAAGTATCATCAACAATTTCTGAAGAGCATATATTAGTATATAATTACTGATTCACTTCCCAAATAAATTGTAATGTTTCTATCTTCTCCTTTGATTTCGTCTACAATAATTTCTATACTTTCCAAAAATAAATTGATATTTAATCCAGGATTAATATGAACAAGGTTACAATTAATTTCAAACTATTCCTACGGATTAACAAAAAAGTATTGTCTCTATAATAATAGATTACTTAATGATTATTAAATTAATAATTAAGTAAGATTAATTGATTAAGATAAGTTAATGAAGTAAGATTCTTACCAATTGATGTTGTGGACCACTCAACTATAAACAAAGACAATAATGTATGCTAGTCATGTGACCAGAGATGTGATGGTACCAGTGGAGCAGTGACGTGTAACAGAGTCTCGGTTTGGAACAGTGACAACCTGTTCCACTCAGTTCCACCTTATTGGTCCAGTGAAAGTGCCAGTGAGAAAAGTTATCTTATCCATAACCTTATATAATTTATGAATATGTTAATATATTGTATATTATACTTATTAATCTTGTCCATTAATCCATTAATAAGTAGTCGGTTTATCGCAAAAAAGTGGAGCTGCCACGGTTGGGTGTTATCGTTCCTCCACTGCTCCAGCGTTCCGCTGCCACAATTGGGCCCTATCGTTCCTCAACTGCTCCACCGCTCCGCCGCCACACTTGGACAGTAACGCTACTCTGCCACTGGGACAGTAAGCGGAGCAGTGGGGCCGCTGCTCTACCCGTCCAGTTAACGACGAAAAATATTTTTATTTATTGTATAAATGTTAAAATTCCCTAAATTTTTAAGAGCAATATTCAAATATTATTGATTAGTTTACTATAAAAATCGAAAATTGACATAAAAGTAATTAAAATTAGATTTCATGAATTCATAAATTGATGAATTTATGAATTAATTTATAATGGATAAATTAACACAATTAAGTATAAAACCGTAAAGACATACATTAATTGATTTATATTTCAATAATAAAAAAATATATAACACAAATCTAAACATCAGGTAAGATACAAATTGAAAAAAGTGAATTAAAGTAAGAACAATTACTAAAAAACTAAAAGCATATATAAAGTTAGAAAACATAAATACAACACTACTTCAAAAATATAACTTTTTTATATTTAAAAAAATATATTAAATTTTAAGGGTATATATTATCCAACCTAATTAAAAAAATAGATAGTAAATATGACAATATTTCCTGAATTAATGCTAATAATATTATACAGAACCTGAATAATGTAAACAATTAAAAAGAGAAAAATATTAATATGGATTAAACAGTGAAAACATATAATATATAATAAAATAAAAATATAATAAAACATACAACATATAATTCTAGAATAATTATTTTAACTAAAATTAATGTTCCAAATAATTTAATTAATTTACTCCCACTTGGAGAAAATTTTAATTTAGATGGTATTCAATAGCTGATTTAGAGAAAATTTATGCAGGTATTGATTCGTCAGAATGCCATTTATGGTTAATAAATATAATATATGACGTATTAATATATTCATCAGTCGCGCTTCAGCTGTTGCCGAGTTCAGATCGCGGTGTGTCCTTTTTGAATTAGCGGCATCCTTGTAGTTTGGGATTAACTACATCCCCGTGTTTAGCTGCCGCCATCTCCAGTTCCAGGATTTCTTTTATTCGTTTTTTTAAATAATAAACCTTTCTTAACTTATTTACTTAATATCTTATTATATGTTTATTTAAATCATTTTCATTATATTCATAATTTATTGGCTTTTATTTTATTTTGTTTTCTATATTTCATTTATTTACTTCTATTTTCATTACTATCATTTATCATAAATCTTTTACTTTATCTATTATATATCAATTTTCTCCTACTAAATTTGTATTGTAATATGGAGTTGCCTCCTGATCCTCCCGATCTATCTACACTCCGAACCAAAAAAAATAAAATGGGCTCGCCCTAAAATAAAATTCCCTCCGGACAAAATCATTTCGCAAAGCATAGATACCATTCCAACATATCTTATATCTCAACATATATCTCCAACAGATCAACTTAAATATAATTCAAAATGAAATACCCCCTTGGACTTTTATACAGCCTAAATTAAATCTACTGCTCTCCAAATTTAAAAAAGAAAATACAGAACCTGCAAAATATACAGAATTATTCCATAAAACAATTAGCTCTCTGCCAGAACACTTACTAATATTTGCGGACGGTTCTAAATCGGACACATCAACAGCATCCATCTTCGTCACACCTGATTCTACCTTTTTTTTTTTTTTTTTTTTTTTTTTTATTTGGGTCCTTCCCTTCCTCGCCGTAAAGGCTATACGGGATTTTCTCGGGCCAGGGGGTGTGGGCGGAGATTTAAAAGACTCCCCCGGCACCGGGACGCGAACTCGTGACTATTTTTATATCTTTGATTCATATGTCAGGTTGCCAGGCAACGGCGGTGCAGTGCACACGCTTTAGCCCATTCGGCCACCCCGCCCACACACCTGATTCTACCTATAAAAGTAAACAACATCCACTTTGTTCCATATATACCGCTGAGATTAATGCCATCGCGATGGCCCTACGACATGTGATAAATTCCCCAGTTGCAAAGGTGGTTGTGGTGTCAGATTCTTTGAGTGCCCTTGAAGCCATGAACAACATGATCCAGACCACATAGGAATATATACAATTTTGGAGTTCATAAAACAGCTAAGTAACATGGTGGTACATTTTTTAATGTATTTAATTTTAATTTAATTGTCAATTCTTAATATTTGTAACCAAAAGATATACTAATTTTAATTAACGGCGTTGATGACTGACAGGTTCTACCCCTTTACTACACAACCAACCAACCAATATATTCATAAATTAAATAAGATTATGGATAAGAAAACTTTTGTCATAGCCACATGGTGTCATTGGAACAGTGACAGATTTTTTCTGGACCGTCACATCCCTCCATATGACTTACAAGGATTGCTTCAATCATTACTCCAATACCCTTACACGTTCAATAATACTGACGTATTTTAGCTCAGTTGACGTTGAGATAGCGGGCAGTGTGGATCAAGTACATTGTCCATTTATAACAATGTGTTTCGTTAAAAAGGCTTATTTAGCCAGTGTCGATTATTATATTGGACATCAAGAGAAAAATGGAGATACAATACATACTTCCTTTTTTTTTTGATATTTATTTATTGAGTAGAAATATATTTTGCCTCAATTAAGGGCATTAGTATTTGAGATGTAAGAGACTCATTCATAACATATATAAAATAACAAAAAAACAATATACATAACAAAAGAAAAGAAAAAGAAAAGTTGATAAAACAGAAGAAATAAAACATGATACAACATTAAATACAAATATAAAAACACATTCATACTTAGAGTATACTTCGTAGTGCCTGAAAATCGTTTTGGCAACAGTTAGAAAAATATAAGTCTACTACTTACAAAAATTAAGAAAAAGTATTGCGAAAATAATCAATTTGTACAGAAAAATGGAAAAAGAACTGACAAATATACACAACAGATAAAGATTGATTTTTCTCAGTAAATTGTGAGGTTTCCAATTTTTTTTTAATTTATTGGCCACTCGACTATTTAAAAAAATTAGTTAAAGATGGTTTATAGAAATATATACAAGGGATATGAAAACCTATTTACTTTTAATGGTTGATGGTTGATGGTTTAATAATGGTTGTGGGGCCAAGGTAAACTAACCTATCTAGTAGAATGGTTTGTTTTTGGCTTGTTAATAGAGAGAGGACTAGCTCATCGGTAGGGTACTGAGCATCCAATGCTAAAGGTTCCGGGTTCGAATCCCGACTTATGTTTCATTGGCCGAGCGGTGACCTTGGGTAGATAGTGAGGCCATACCCAGCCTCTATAAAGTGGGTATCCTTAATTTAAATGATTAATTAAGGAGGAAAATCTGGCGGTTGAGCGTGATCTCCTTCAAATCACCTCCTTGCACAACCGTACACCAAGAAAAAGTTCTTTCCCTAAATAGTACTGAACATAAGGCCCTTCATGTATTGTAATGTTACAGGTAGCAGAATAGTTAGTCTCCCCACCACTTTTACCTCAGTCTCCCTTCCAGTGTTCCCGTGCGTTCTGTGACAAATCCTGGTAGTTCAAACCTCGTACATCATCGTACGCTTGCTCATTAGTTACGGAATGGACTTAATCCGTAACAACTATTAATATTAATTTAACTTTTATTTTATTTAGTATGCCAATTGTTGACTCATGCATTGACCTTTCTCATGACTTTTATCAAAGCATAAAAGCACAAAGCCCTAGATAGCCAGATCAAGCTATCTCTGATAGCTCAGAAATAGTTATCTAGAATGTACTGACTAAACAGAAGACACTTATCAAGACTTAGGGAACAATAACCGTTTTCAGCAAAAGAGCACTTTCTCACAGACTTCATATCAATTCTAAAAGATAAGGATATCAATTCTTAATAGTTACAACTTCATTCACACGCTTCCTAGACCGTCCAGAATTGATTCCCCCCCCCCTACTATTCCTGAATATATAAACCCCATGATCCTCAGACCAAATCACTCATGTAGTTAATTCTCTTGATGTCATACTCTTTACTGCAGGAGACCTGGAGTGAACTCATGTAGTCAACCCATAGCATATTACTCTGTATTTTAGATGTCATTTGTAGCTTTATGAATAAAAGCATTACTTATAAAGTCTCCACTGCCTCCGATTCGTCAACTATTGAAAATTCGTACTATTATAGGCTCTGTGATATTGTTTTGTTTTAAAAGTAAAATTAGATCAGAGCTTTGCTTATTACCTTCATTCATACATTTAAAGCATTTTTACATTTTTTTTTTTAAGTTAATGGGTCAAGAGTTAAAATGAATTTAATTAAAAGCACGAAATTAAATATATAAGAAAGTGCATATATTTTTAGAAACTATTGGAAAATTTTATAGAGAAATTAAATTAGCAAAATAAACTTTTTAAATGAGAACAATATTCCAATCATTATTAAAAATAAAAACAATTAGAGAAAACATTATTATGATTTCATCGAAGTTCGAAACTAGATGATATATAATTGAAATTAATTTTTTCTTATTAAATTTTTATTTTGCTTACTTAGGACTATTTAAATTAATTATATAACAATCGCAGTTTTATGAAGGATTTAATGGATATAGTTTCTTATATTATATTTTATACTCAATAAAAAACGGAAAAAAAATTATAACGACGGTAACAATGTTTTTTTCAATTTTCTTGAAAATTACAATATATATATAATCACTGTTAAGGATTATGAAATAATCCTTATGAATGATTATGAAGGAAATAATAGTTATACTCTGATTAAAGTAGATATAATTGCAATTTATTTGTCTTTAAAGCAACAGAAGCTAAGTATTACATATTAATATAAATAATAACACAGTAAAAATAATTTTAAAACAAATCTAAACTTCATTCATAAAAATATAACTTTGCATACGTCAGTAAAAATTATGTACGAGGCACAAGGATCGACCAGCCTCGTAGCTCGTACAATACATCGTAACGTCGTTAAAATACGAAGATCCTCGTACGAACGGCAACACTATTCCCTTCCACTTCCCGTGATTGAACCTTTGATTTTCGCAAATCCGCCAGACACGTCTATCAGTACCTTACACGATCAATCAGAACGTCAATAGTGCCTCGGAATGCAATTCCGAATGACCGTGTAGGGCCTGCTACATAAGCAAACCAAACCACCAGAGGCTCTGCAATGTTTATACTTCCTAACAGCTGGGCTATAAATAATTCGTTGACATCCATCTAGACTTAGCTCTTATTTCAGCATTAACTTGGGTTTCAGCGAGTCATATCATATCTTACCGGCCGAAGTATTCGTCGTTTTGTATAAAATTTTGATAACCATTGATGCTCCAATATAAAATATAGAAATATGATACTTCCCTTATCAGTAATGGAGATTCATTTTACTCTTCTCTATTTTTGACATTTATGTTTGCTTTCTCGAAATCGATACTGATCTAATTTTTTGTTAATGTTTTTTTCTTTTTCGGACCTCCGCTCTGATTTCAGATATGTGAAAAGTGTTCTTTTTCATTATGAAAAAAAAAAACTGTTTTTATAAGTAACATTACTGTCCAAGTTTCGCAATCTGTATAGGTATAAATATATTTGTTTGGTCATTTTATATATAAATTGACATTATGTCTTAAATCAATTGGAAATCTAAAAAATAAATTAGTTGATTTCATATTTATTTTTCTTTGCTTAAAAAAGTAATAAAATATAAATGAATATACCAGAAAAATTGATATTTATTTTTTATTTGAAAAATAGGGGACAAGCTATTTTTATAGCTATTATTTGTTAAGCGAAATTATTCCTGCCCAATGTTATATTAACTTCATATTAAAAAAATAAAATGTTTATAAAATATTAACTTTTTTTCTATTTCACATTTCACTCATAAACTGCTTCTTTTTTTTTCCTAAATAATTTTGTGAATCTGGAACATTTTTTACCAATGAGTTTATATATAGAGATAGAAACACTTCATTTCTATATAAAATATAAAAGCTTGCTGCCCAACTATATTGGGTTGCTAGACACACAGCAATCTAGTTATTATGCTATAATAATTATAAACAATTTTAAATGCTTATATGTCTGCTGAATATTTATCTTATTTTAACTAACAGGATTTACTGAACTCAATTTCATATTAATTATATTCTATCTTCAGGTATTCTATATTTTACTTGTTTGAGTCCTGAATATTATTGTTTCATACATATTTTTAACAATTAATAATAGGTATATGCGATGTTTAAGGTATCCGCATGCTGGATCAACCCTACATGACAGACCTGATTGAAGCTAATTCGATGGGACATGAACCCAATCTTATTGACATATACTCTGCCTCCTGGGGACCCACTGATGATGGCAAGACTGTGGATGGGCCAAGAAATGCAACTATGAGGGCTATTGTTAAAGGAGTCAACGAGGTAATTACATTATTGAGTCCAAAATGTTAATTTTTTTTCAACTAGTTAATTTTATTAAAGTAATAAATAGCATTGTTCTAGACATTTGAAAATGATTTTTTAAAATATTTATATCAAGACATATTTGACTATATACAAATAGACATTCAAAATACAATTTGTACCTAGAGAACATTCAGCCTTAGACATTGAACGGCCCCCGGACAATGACTTCATATCCTCCCTCCCCTCCCACCCAAAAAAAATTGAATATATTTCTTAATTTGTTTTATATTAGGTAATATTTGAATTTTATTTTATTCAATATAGCTCTAATTTATTTATATTACTAATAGACTAAAATTAATATTCTCTTAATATAGTAACTTTTTTTTTTTAACCCTAAGAAGTGGAGGGCGCCTCCCCCCTTCTTAGTAGCCTAATTGCCCGGATTGCTCGGCCCTAAAGCCGGGGCACTGCATTCGGCAATCCTCTCTGATGTCCAAATCGGTTCAGAAACTTACCAAATCTCAAAATAGTGCCAAGTTATAAGATATATCCAAACGTTTCTTAATTTCATTTTCCTCAACTAAGAAGTTATGTAAAATTTTTAATTTTTCCATTTTTTGCTGTATGCGTTTTTAGACATTTCTACCCAATCTTTAATTTAATGTAATAATTAATTGATATACTTTTTTATTAGCAATGTAAGATAGCTGTTGCAGACGAAATTTCATTACCATTTTAAGCAAATTAATGGTCTACGTGATTATGAGACATTATCTATCCCTATATTGTCCCCTTGAGATTTTTTTAAATTCTTGAGCCCACAACAACTACTTCTGTGCCCCACCCTACGTTGTAAAAATTAATATAATTTAATTGCCCTGATAAAAAGTAGGCTAATACAAACAAGAATGAATAGAAGATGCTATATATATATATATATATATATATATATATATATATATATATATATATATATATATATATATATATATATATACACCTATGTGGGTACCACTAGCGGATCCAGGATTGAATTTGGAGGAGAGGGCTTCAGCCCGAATGGTGTTGTTTTTTTTTTATGAATAAGGATTACCACTTTGGTAGAAAAAGAAAGAAACTAATTAATTACCTATATGAAATGGTGTTTAATTGATTCTTGAAGTTCTACTAGATGTAATTACACGGACAATAATGCTTTTACAGATAGATTTTTAATATTTATTTCGTAAGACATGGTTATGTTTTAACATTTGGGAAGGGGGCTTCACCATGAAAGCCCCATCCCGCAGATCCACCTGTTGTGGGTACTTAATTAAGTACAAGATGATCATCATGATCATGACATCAGATGATATGAATGGATTTGAACAAATAACGTCAATAATGAAATAATTTTTTGAAATATATTTTGTGGAGAAGAAAAAATCATTACAGAAGTAATGCACGAAACAAGGCGTAGAGGAAGATCTCAGCTTCGGTCGAGTGACGGTGTGACTGGTGATGCCAGGTCCATGTTGGGAGTGAGGAGCTGAATGGCAGCTGCACAGGATAGGAACAATTGGTGGTGGCTGATATAGGAGGCCAAGACTCGATATCGAGTTGTCGCGCCGACTGAATAGAGTGTTAAAACCAACGTCACATAAAAAAATTGTCAAGAAAAACTAAATAATTAAATTACATTAAATCCTCATACAACAGGCTACACCATTACAAACTTTGGATAAATTTATCTCGAACATCAAAATGATATAATTAAATACATCAAAACTATCCAGGTTGCAGTACTGCAACTTTATACTTTTTAAGATGATGTAAATGAAAAAAAACAACGTATTTTTAGACCTAAAATTGGTGTAAATATTGAAAGAAATTCGATTGACACAAATAAAACTTAAAAATATATGAATTTCAAACATCCGGAGTAAAAGCATGTGTTCTATGGACGAAAAGTGGTTGAATTATTTATGAACTGGTATCAGTTGAGTGTTTTCCACTACGTGCCTTTTGTAACAATGAAGGAATCAAGACCCCGACATTTTATGTTTTACTGCATTGGCTAAGCTGTGTACTTGTCAATTTATCAGCTGCGCAAATGTTCTCCTGCTTATCGCTTTGTTTACCAACACAGAAAAGTTTTGATACATTTTTTTAGTACATCAATCTTTGGCAGATCATTAGATTGAGGGAATACACGATCATAAAGTTATTTATAGTTGAGAAAATGATTATTCCTGAACTCAGAGTTCATCACTAAGGTTATCGACATACTGTTAGAACACTCTTTCCCATTGCCAACATTAGTTTTATAAGCATTGTAGTGCGATTGTTAACCCTTTTATCCTTATTTATATTGTGTATAGTCAATTATAAAAGATTTTTGAAGTATTAAATGTATTAGTAATTATTTATTTACCAAGTCACAATATTTAATTGGCTGAATCTTGTTCAGAATAAAATAGCTTTTAAACCAACGATAATTTTAAAACAGGGTACTTGTTAGATAACCGGGCGGGACGAAACCTCCCTTGTTATCTATTGTTTCATCACATAACCTCCCTTCTTATCTTGTGTAAGCTGTGGGTTATTCCATTGTTTAATGTTTCAAATACGATCTTTTAAAATGTAACCAATTGTCTTTTATAATCACAAAAGTATTGCACCAATAATAAGTATACTATTACTTATTAATTCCTTTAAACTACATGGAATAGGAGAATCTATAAAAGGGGAATTGTTTCCGAGAAAAATGCTTCTTGGATAGAAAATTGTTAAGAAAGAGGTGAAACTAAAGCTAAAGAAACTTGCTGGTTTGATAACAAATTTCTAAAGTTATGTATTGTTAACTATTGTTTCAGGGAAGAAATGGTCTTGGAAACATATATGTCTGGGCAAGCGGAGATGGTGGTGAGGAAGATGATTGTAACTGTGATGGATATGCAGCATCAATGTGGACTATTTCTATTAATAGCGCAATTAATGATGGACAAAATGCTCATTATGATGAAAGCTGTTCGTCAACTCTTGCATCAACTTTTAGTAATGGGGCTAAAGATCCCAATACAGGGGTGGTAAGAAAAATTATAACTATTTTATTTAAATAAATTTGAATCATTAAAAATTAACTCAACTTCAAGATGGAAGTGAACTGTTTAAAAGATAGTATCCTTTTCTTTAACAACTGCTAATATCATACAGTTTCCTATTTAATATCTTTCTTAGATATAACCCCCAGTTTATTAGTGTTGGTGGGAGGCAAGTCCGGCAATTGGGCCTCTTGGTCCTTTTTTCCTACCCAAAATAATAATCTCTTAGCCTTCCTAATGAAAGTCAGAAGAGGCTCTGTGATGAAAAGTGTAGAGCAGTTTCCAGTGATTGACCACAAAGCTGGAAAGTTTTGTCAGCTACCTCTCCACAACCCCTCAAATTTCTAAGCCTGCAGTGACCTGCAAGTAAACAGAGTTCACTTCTTTTCAGACCAAGTAGCCATATAATTCTAAAAGTGAAGGGTTTATTGACTGCTTAATCTTCCTAGTATCCCAATTATCTTTCACTTTATTTATATTTGGGATTATATGTATTTAGTTCTGGAAAGATATCTATTAATTCAGAATTTGTTCACTTTCTATATATGTGATATGTATTTGACCCATTTTAATCTATGTAAAATGTTAATATAAGCTCTTATACAGCAAGCCAAATTCTATCCAGTCAGTTCAAATTCTATTTTATCTGGTATCTTTTTGGAAATGCTTAGTGTTTTTCGCCTCTGGCTCAACACTTAGTCTAGAAGCATTTTGTATGTGCTTAGTTCCTTAACTTTATAATCTGTTTGAATTATTTATCACACAATCTATTTCTTTAGTTGACCATTCTCTTTCTTAGAGCATTATCTATAACTGCCTTGTTCTTTCAACATTTTTCATGAATTCTGTCTGGAATCATTAATTTTAATTTTTTTTTAAATTTAGTTTAACTGAAAAATGTTTTTTTGTATCTTTCTTTTATTGTTTCTGTTCAATAAATTTAATATGAAATTTCTAAATTAAATTAATAATGTAAGATATTAGGTTCTATTTTTTGGTTTACTATTAAGGTTTTTAATATATTGTTTACTTCCATTACTTATATGATCATTCAAAATATATATTTCATGTATTGCATTAAAGAATTTGTTTGGCATTCTATAGCCTACCATTTGTCAAATTTTATTTGTTCTAAATAACTTGATTCAGCAACTCAACCTAGTTGATCTGCCGTGAAGTATTATTGTAAAATTAAACCCAATTAATATTTTATATATCTACCAATGATATTTTCACAGTGTATCATGTTACAGGCAACTACTGATCTTTATGGGAAGTGTACCACGACTCATTCAGGCACATCAGCTGCAGCACCTGAAGCTGCTGGAGTGTTTGCTCTTGCCTTAGAAGCCAAGTATGATATTATATATATAAACTGTATATATATATATATATTGCCTGTCAGTGTATATATATATATATATATATATATATATATATATATATATATATATATATATATATACACTGACAGGCAAAAAATTCGACCCACTTGATTTTTTCATGTTTTTGTCTAAAAATATTTCTGCTTTGGATTGGTCTATTGTTTTTAATGAATAAATAGGTAATCTTTTTGTTTGTTTTCAATTAGGAATAGTAATATAGAGGACAATAACCCTTAATCCTTAATTTAATGAAATGATTCTAGATTCCAATGTTTACTTTCTATGGAATCAAAATGTTTATTCAGTATCATTAGTTCAGTGCCGTTTCTTGCAGCACATTTCTTAGTCTCCGGCTTTTATTTTTTTCAATATTAAGTTTAAAAATGCCTCTTAGTGCTGAGAATGTTGCGCGTGTTGTGGCACTTATTGATGATGGAAGTTCCATTAGATATGCAGCTAATGCCATCGGAGTTCCATATGAAACTTTACGAGACGCCATCAGGCGTTTTCGGGAAACTGGTTCTTACAATAGAAGGCCCGGCTCTGGAGGGCCTAGGGTAACAGAACCACGGGATGACTGGTTTTTGACTTTGAGAATTTTACGAAACCGGCACCTTACTGTTGTTCAAGCAATTCATCAGCTCAAAGAAGTTCGAGGTGTGCAAATTTCTGAACGTACCACTCGGAGAAGATTAAATGATTATGGATTAATGGCTTTTCGTCCAGTTAGAGGACCAGAGTTGATCAGAACTCACAGAGTAACACGGCTGGCTTTTGCTCAAGAACACAGCCATTGGACTATGGATGAATGGAGTGCTGTACTTTTTAGAGATGAGTCAAGATTCGCTCTTCGATCTCCAGATGGGCATGAAAGGGTGTGGAGAAGAACAAACGAAAGATATGCAGCCTGTAATTTTTCCCAGAGCCAACCTTTCCAACGTGGTTCCTTAATGGTGTGGGTTGGGATTTCAATGGAGCACCGCACAGAATTGGTTGTTGTTCGTGGAGGGTCTTTGACGGCCATTCACTATGGGTGAGATTTTGGAACCTCATGTGTTGCCTATTCTCAACGAAATCGGCGATTGTTCTATTCTAATGCACGATAATGCACAGTGCAGACGTTCCTTCAACAGAACAATATTGAGGTTTTAGTCTGGCCAGCATGTTCTCCAGATTTGAACCCCATTGAGCATTTATGGGATAACCTCGGAAGACGAATAAGAGTGCCTGCAACACTTCCTGATATACTGCAGGACCTTGAAAGGGCTCTTCGGGGGAATGGGCTATCCTCCAGCAAAGGGACATTTCCCGACTGGTGGAAAGTATGCTGAGGCGTCTTCAAGAAGTAGTGAAGGCAAGAGGAGGAAACACGCGCTACTGAACGATGATGTAATTAATTTCTTTTAGAATAATAATGGTTTATTTTTCAACTTTTTTTCTCTAATCTTTCTTACCCAATCACATTTTAATTATTAAAGGTAAAAAATGTTATAAAATTCCATAAATACTAAGTATTATCTACAAATACCATGTATTATATACAAATACAACTTTACAGACATATTTTTAGATGAAAACATGGGTGGAATTTTTTGCCTGTCAGTGTATACACACACACACACACACACACACACACACACACACACACACACACACACACACACATGTACACATAGACACACACATACACACACACACACACACACACACACACACACACACACACACATATATATTAATGTAAAAGTATATATATATATATATTAATGTAAAAGTAGGAATGAGGCTGGATGGAGAAGAGCTAATTACGGGCAACAATACCTGTGGAAGAAGGAACGATGGAGAAAGTCACCATTTAAACTTTGCTTTATCACAGAGACTGCACATTGGAAATACTTATATTAGAAATAAAAATGCTTTTAAATGGACCTAAGTGGCAAACTTTTGAAATAGATTATATTTTAACAAACAAAATTAAATTTATTAGAAATGTAAATGTAATACTTGTTTTTTATTTCATATCAGATTACAGAAAATTGAAAGCTGTTTTTTTTTGCTTGAAAATTCAATAAAAGAGCAACGTTTCAAATTGAAAAGAAAATTGTCCATATTCCAAAAGGAGCACCAAGCTTATAAATTTATAGAATACCTCTCAGAAAAATTACTTATAGAGCTGGGAGGAAAGAGCATTCATGAGAACTAAGACAATCTGATAAAAGTTCTTGAAAATTTCTCCCTGAAGAAGGATGGTGTACAAAACTCTAATAAAAGCAATAAATTCTCAATATTTATTCTAAAGGTACTTAAGGAAAAAAGAGAAGTTAAATAAAATCCTGAAGCAGACCCAATACTTATAACTGCTCTGAATAGGAAAATAAAAAAGAAGATTAATCTTCTTTGAAGAAGACTTTATGAAATATAGAAATGAACTCATAACCAAAATAATCTGCAAGAATAGCTCTACCAAACAAATAAAGAAGGAACTTAACCTAGAAAGAAACTGGTTATTGTCTTTTTATACACTTGATCATAAAAAAAATAATAGATAGAGGAGTGAAGATAACCACAGCTTCGAGCTACTTCAAGAATATATAAAACTGTGGAGACTTTGGAAACTAATCTTGTACCTGAATTACCAAAGGTAAATGTTTCAGAGGTGGTAATTCAGAGGTGTTCCAGTGATCATAAGAGTAGAAATCAGGAAAGCAATAGATAACCTGAAGAGACATAAAAGTCCTGGTCCAGATGGAATAAGAAGAGAGATGCGAAAATCAGAAGGCACAATTTTTATTGTACATTTGAAAAATCTTTTTAAATCTAAATTATTGCAAGAAGAAATACACCAGCAGATGAAGACAATCAATTTTATTCATAATTAGGGCAGCAGATATATGATTGACAATTACAGACCTATTTCTTTCTTCTGATCGACTGTGTCATAAGTGTTTGCCTCCATGCTTGAGAACTTCTCACTGGGAGAATGATGAGATTCATTAATGAGGATCAAGCTGGATTCAGGAAAGGATATTATATGACTGACCACACTTAGAACATTAATCAGGTCATTAAAAAAGCAGAGCAATATAGGTTTTCTATTTATTTGTGTTCTATTGATTTCCAAAAAGCGTTTGACAGAGAATTTTTTATAGAAGCATCTGTGAGGCTCTACAAATGATGGGTATAGACTGCGAATATATTAAATAAGATATCAGGATCAGTGGAAGGTAATTAAACTGTCTCAGGGGTGCCCACCCCCCTCCAAGATCGTGGTGCATGAACCTCACCCCCTCCTCTCCTGCTTCTCCCAAGATATTATATTGTTCTTCTCTTCTTAATAACCGTGCAAGCTATAGTAGAATTTTAAAAATCATAGGTCACATACAATTGCACTTTCAGCAGTCTGTTTTCCTACTATGCTTTCCTCTGATCCCCTGGTTTGAAACTTTTTAATTTGAAAATTTATAACCCCGTCATAATGTGCCTCCTTCAAAAATTCAAAACCCTGTTAAAATGTTCTCCCGTTAAAAATTTTTATGGCGCAACTTGCACCATGAAACCCCCTTCTGGGCACCGCTGAACTATCTTCAATTTGCAAATAATATTGTTTTGTATGGGTTTGATGATATTGTTATGTTGGGAGTACTGCAGTAGACCTCACAATAATATTAAAAATATTGGTGGATATGTGTATATAAGTGGGGCTCTCACCTAATTTTGATAAAACAAAGTTAGTGACGAACACTGAAAAGGTGAATATTAAATGTTGGAAATCAACATTTATAAAATGTGGAGAACTATATATACCTTGGGCAATTGGTAGTTGGTCTTATTTGGGATTAGTTAGATAGAAAAACATCAATAGGATGGGGAAAGTACTGTTATTCAAAAGCAATAATGAAAAACGATCTAGCAAAAGAGATAAAGAAGAAACTCTTTGATACCTGTATACTCCCTGCCATCTCATTTGGTAGTCAAACTTGGACCTTAACTAGAGCCCAATCAAGAAAACTATTAACTTGGCAAAGATCAATGAAATCAATCAATGGAAAGAAGTATGACTAACATTAAGAAGAAGGAGAAGAATAGGAGTTATGTCATCAAATATCAATGGATATAAATGAAAGATACAGTCCACCATGTCAGGAAGAAAAAATTGAAATGAGCAGGGCACGTTTTAAGAAGAGCTGATAAAAGGTGGTCAATGGAGGTGACTGGACACCCTATTGTTACAAAAGGTGCAAAGTAAGAGAGTAGAGTGACTTCTTTAGGAAGATGACTGGACCACTATGGTGGAGATTGGCAAGGTTGGTCATCTGGGAAAGTCTTGACTTATGCTTTCTGAGGGAAAGCCTATGTTCAAACTCGCAAAAGAAGTTCTTGGATGGATTTGTTTTATTTATTTATTATTATTATTATTTGTAAATCTTTCGCACAATAACCAGAGCTTTCTGGGATCAAACTGCTAACACCTGGAGAAGAAAAACTAATGAAGAGCTAATTACAAAAACTGATCAATCAATATCTCATGATATTAAAGAACAGAAGTTAAGATGGGCTGGGTATATAGCTCGAAGTAATCCATCTGAAAACCTCATCACGACAATTAATGCCTCAATAGTAGGCAAAAGACCACATGGAAGGCTATAGCATTGTGACAAGGTATTGCCTTTGAAATTCCAAGACTGTGATTTAGACAATAGGTTTTGAATTCATAGGCTGCATTTGCATTCACCATAACCTACTTTGCCTTCTTGGCTTACCCTACATTTATGTTCAATGACTGAGCATTTAAAGACACATTATTTGTTTTATAATAAATTAATTACATTTAATAACAACTAGCTATTAATATTTTTAAGCTATTTATTAATCAAAACATTCTAGTACTCAGAAAAAAACTCTTTTGTCAATATTTAGATAATTTATTTGTTTGATATATGTTCATTTAAAATAGTTGAATTATTATTTTAATTTCTAATGCAGCAAAGTAACTTATTCCTCTTAGTATAATTTATTAGCCATAAACATTGAGTTTATTACAAATTTTTTGTATATATCTAAATGTAATAAGATAAAATGCTGTCACTTTTATTGAACAATTTTGATTCCACACTTAAAATTAAATCAATTTCTTATAAAACCTTATAAAAACTCTGAGTTTGAGATTGTTACAAAGAATAAGTATGCTTTTATATATTTAAATAATACTAATTATTATTACTTAGTCAGGTCATATTCAACTAACTTAATTCAATTCATTAATGTTGTTTTCAGTCCCGAAATTTCATGGAGAGATATTCAGCATTTAACTGTTCTTACTTCAAAAAGGAATTCTTTATTTGATGCAAAAAACAGGTTTCATTGGACTATGAATGGGGTAGGTCTTGAGTTTAATCATCTCTTTGGATTTGGAGTTCTTGATGCTGGAGCTATGGTCGCCCTTGCAAAACAATGGAAAACTGTTCCTGCAAGGTATCACTGTGAAGCAGGGAGTGTTAAGCAAATGCAGTAAGTTTTTGCACACCTGATAAATGCCTATATTCTAAATTTAATTTATAGGTTAGTATAGTAATTATATCAGTATTTGATACAGTTAAAACAAGAATCATATTTAACTAAGATTTTTAGTGTTTTCTAGCACTTTTCTTTATTTTATCTCTCTCACCGAATTCTTCTCTATACCTTTATTGTATTTCTATCTTGAGGTGTTTATCATCATCGTTTTGAATCATATTGTGGTGTCTACTATTAAAGCCTCCTTCCCTTTCCCTCTAAATTTTAGAGTATCCATGGACCTTGTTAATACTTCCATATTTAAGCAAAATTACAAAGCAGGTATGAAATTCAATTGGGAAAAAACTAGCCCAAAAGGAGACCAGAACATAAAAGCAAGAAAAACTGTTGGGCCAGCTGAGCAGACCACCAGTCCATATATACCTCTGTTTATGATTAGAAATAATTAGAATTATTATTATATTATTTATTTGTTTTTTAGTTTTATTATTTTATTTTGGGAAAGGTATTTAGCTCTTTGAGATACTATCCTCACTGATTCATTTGTAATTATATTTTATTCAGTTTTTAAAAGCCTGGATAAAATATATATTTATTTGCCATCTACTATTTTAACTTATTTTTTTTGTATAAATGATGAAGTCCAAGGATTTAATGTCTTACTAGAAGCTTGAATTATTTGGGAATCCAGAAGGTTTTTCACAAATTTCACGAAGGGTTTCCTATCCCTAATTTTACTATAAGTCTGGGTACTTGTGAGCAGCGCGGCCTCTATGGACGGCTATCTGCAGTTATCTTGTTATTTAAAGTGTTGTTTTTGTTATTTACATTTCTTAATATTAAATGTTTATAACCTGAACACTGATAATTGTTATAAGGCACTGATAATCCCTATCATCATATGGAATTAGACTCTCGTATAATAAGAAATATAAATATATTTGGTGTTGCCTCTTTTTTGCCTGTTTCTTATTAATAAGAAATATAAATATTAATATATTAATAAGAAATATAAATAACAACAACAACACTTTAAATAACTAGATAACTGCAGATAGCATTCCCTGCGTCGCTGACAACTACCTAAGTCTGTTCAACAACAGCTCATTATGGGCCTTAGGTGGCCCTGATAAAAAAATATGAGTTTGTTTGATTATACACCTTTATGTACTCATATGACTTCAGTCAATTCTCAAGACAGGTACTCGTTTAAGTTATGATTGGGCCCACATTTTGTAAAAAAAGTTTATTGTATTCATATAGAAATTTTTGTATGACTATAATTGAAAAAGTAATAATTTCTATCTATAAGTTAAAAAAAAATTTGTAAAGGTCTAACTTAGAAGTGGTTGTAAGATTTTCTATGATATTTTACCATTTTCTGAAATAAGTGTTGCATTAAATAGAAAAAAAAAAATTATAAGATATTGCATGTTAAATTAAATGACTGAACAAAGCAAAGAATTCAAATATTAGAAAAATTGTCATATACACTTAGCTTTCTAAAGTTTATACAACAGCACTTGGTGTTAACAATAAATAGAATAACAAGGTAGTGAAATTTAAACGATAAGGTAGCTTTATTCAGAGGTAAAAAAACGTCAACACAACACATTGGTGGTCCTTTGACTCTTTGTTAATTTAAATATTTATTACATCTACTATGTCTGCTAGATTAAATCAATTTTCATTTAAGAAAATAAAAACCCTTTTATTGAAGGAAGTTTATCGACTGTTCTACATATCATTGGTGATAAATATTCAGGACGCAGTCATTATAAAGTTTTTTTTGGTGCCGACGTTTCAACCCAAACATGTGGGTCATCATCAGGGCTGAAAAGTGTTTAATACATTCAGAGATATAATATTATAAGACAGATAATGGTTAATAATATCAAAATATCTTAAAAGTTTTATAAACTAAAATAATTTATATAATGAATTTACAAAAAATGTAATATTCACTCTTAATAACCGTGTTTAGAGCACTGAAGGTATTCAAGTAGTGACACATTGGAAGGTAAGTAAAAGGGTCAGTGGAGGATTTTCCAGATGTTTTTAAGATAGCAAAAGGTACGTAAACATAGTCAGATGGGGGAGAGGTTACATTTCTGTTTGTAAAATGCAAATAATTTGATAACTAAAATATTCAAGATGTATAAAAAATTTGTGTTGTTTCTTATAGTTACAAAATTATGACTATTGGCTTGTAATGAAACAGCAATAAATAAGAGTTGACATTCAATATAAACACAAAATAGATAGAGTGAAGGTATGCAGTAGTTATCCAAATAATGTTTCTAATACAGGCAATTGTATTGAATTGCAATGGTAAGTAGTACAATATCTTATACAATATTTTAAGAATTACAATATTGATCATAAAATAAACCTATTTTATTAAGGATTACATAGTACTAATATACTAATAAATGTGAGAGATGGTGTGGGGTCACGTTTTGTAGGGAGATGAATTTCTAAAAGATCTTTCCTCTATTCGCTCCTTTCTAAACTCCCACTATCAAATCATTGTCACTCGTGCAGACAAAAGTAACAAAACTGTCATTATGGACCACGCCGAGTATAATGATAAATTATTTGCACTCCTGTCCGACCAAACCACCCATCTCCCTACAAAACGTGACCCCACACCATCCCTACATAAACTTCTTTCAATAAAAGGGTTTTTATTTTCTTAAATGAAAATTGGTTTAATCTCGCAGACTTAGTAGATGTAATAAATATTTAATTACCATTATTTTAAATTAACAAAGAGTCAAAGGACCACCAATGTGTTGTGTTGACGTTTTTTTACCTCTGAATTTCACTACCTTGTTATTCTATTTATTGTTAACACCAAGTGCTGTTGTATAAACTTCAGATAGCTGAGTGTATCTGACAATTTTTCTAATATTTGAATTCTTTGCTTTTTTCAGTCATTTAATTTAACATGAAATATCTTATATCTTATGCAATATCTTTTTTTTATCTATTTAATGTAACACTTATTTCAGAAAATGGTAAAATATCATAGAAAATGTTACAGCCACTTCTAAGTTAGACCTTTGCAAATTTTTTTTTAACTTATAGATAGAAATTATTACTTTTTCAATTATAGTCATACAAAAATTTCTATATGAATACAACAATAAACTTTTTTTACAAAATGTGGGCCCAATCATAACTTAAACGAGTACCTGTCTTGAGAATTGACTGAAGTCATATGAGTACATAAAGGTGTATAATCAAACAAACTCATATTTTTTTATCAGGGCCACCTAAGGCCCATTATGAGCTGTTGTTAAACAGACTTGGGTACTTGTCAGCGACGCGGGGAATGCTATCTGCAGTTATCTTGTTATTTAAAGTGTTGTTGTTATTATTTATATTTCTTATTAATATATATATATATATATATTTAAACTTAACTATTTAATTGGGAATAAGGTCACTTATTAATAATTTAATAAACTATTGAATGTTCATCTCTTCTGTTTATTGACGTTTCGATCCCGGTATTTTCTTTTTATTAGTCAACGATGGGATCCTCTTCAATTTTTTATCTTTTATTATTCATAGATATGTTTTATTGATGCTGGTATATTGATCATAGAAGCATCTTTCAATTGTTTTATATAAAATAGATGCAATTTTTCATTGTTTATTGTGTAATAATTTGTCTTCGGGCTCAGGACCGGAGAGGGCAGACGCTTAGCGATCCAGTAGCTTAATATATGCGCTAGTGGATGGTGCTGAGACTGTCGGTGTATCCCTGGCCTGATCGAAGTTTTATTTCTTAAAAGTAGGTTAAACATTTTTAAATAATTGTTATTAAAGACATATGGAAGTAATATTGTGTACCGATTGAGCTATTTGTAGTTCTAGCTTTGAAGAGGATCCCATCGTTGACTAATAAAAAGAAAATACCGGGATCGAAACATCAATAAACAGAAGAAATGAACATTCAATAGTTTATTAAATTATTAATATGTGACCTTATTCCCATTAAATAGTTAAGTTTAAATTTAATACTCAAAGGTCGATTAAGGAAAAGTTGTAAATATATATATACATATATTAATAAGAAACAGGGAAAAAAGAAGCAACACCAAATATATTTATATTTCTTATTATACGAGTGTCTAATTTCATATGAAGATAGGGATTATCAGTGCTTTATAACAATTATCAGTGTTCAGGTTTTTATAAAAATGTCTCTTTTTAAAAGTTTTTTTTTTCATGAGTAATAAATATTCAGGACGCAGTCTTTATTAAGTTTTTATTGTATTTTTGTAGCTCTTGAGGTCTGCTATCGCTCCTATAAAAATTTCTCTGTACTTACGTAACACCCTGTATATATATATATATATATATATATTTATTTAGTAGTAGTAGTATATATATAATATATATATATATATATATATTATATTTATTTAGAATATATAGAATATATATATATATATATATATATATATATATATATATATATATATATATATATATATATATATTCTATATATTCTATTTATATATATATATATATATATATATATATATATATTCTATGTTTATATACATATATACATAGAAAAATATATCAAAAAATAGAGGAAAAAAAGGGAAATTACATGCATAAAAAATATAAATGAATAAACACAAGTATATGTTTGCGATATTTATCTGTATTAAAATAGCACTACATATTTATATTTGAGTTTTAAAGACTGTCTAAGAAATTTATTAGTATGCTATGTTAGTAGCAACCCAATATAGTTGGGTAGTATCCTTTTATGATGATAAACTGTTCCTCTTTAATAATTTTACAGGTCAATTTCAAACAATAATCCACTAGTTTTGAAAATAACAACAAATTCATGTCAAGGCACAGACACAGAGGTAAACTATCTAGAGCATGTGCAAGCAGTAATTACATTGAATGCTACTAGGAGGGGAGATGTGCAGCTGTTTCTTACATCTCCAATGGGAACAAGGTATTTTATTTTATAATAGTCCAAATTGATTTCTGAAATAACTGTGGGGTACTAAGAAGAAAAGATTCATATTATTCAATTTAAATTAACTGGTCTACAGTAATGGAGTAATTTCTTTCCTGTAATTATTTATTGTTGGTCATAGAGAACATGTAATAACGTATCAATATGTATTTGGATATATCTAATTGTATTACATGAAATAACTGTTAACATTATTAAAACATATTAAAAAAAAAATAGAAAAAAGAAGGGGAAGAAGACCTTTACCACTTCAACCCATGAAGAATCTGGGTTATAGTATTTGATCAGGAAAAGGTATTTCTTGACCACTGGTACTGGTACCGGTATTCGGTGGAAGGAACTAGTACGGCAAGTGGGCCCTATCGTGGTTCTTTTTCCCAACCCCTGATGGCTACTTTGAGGTTGCCGCCACATACTTACCAAAGTGGGAATGTCAAGATTCATTTCCTGAGGCCGCTGAGAAATAAAAACTAACTGACCCAGATGAGAATCGAACCCATGTTCGAACCGAGCACTCTGGGACCCATGCCTCAACGTGCTCGGCCATCCTGTCCTCTGTTTCTTAACTAACAGTTAAAAAATGAGATGATGCGGTTAGTACACATGATCAACTATCACGTTTTCTCCCTGACCCAGTTAAAGGCTAGGTAACAATTTTATAAAACCTGGTTATGCCCTAAAAGGGTTTCTTTATCTCACAGTTTATCCATGGCTGATGTAAATAAATTGAATACCTCCAGCAATTCTTGAACACAATCCTGGGAGTTAGAAGTCCAGGATTTTACCAACTGAGTTACCCTGCTCCTCGTGAATATAATAACAATCTGCAAAAAGAGGAAGGTCCACGTAAAAGCAAAATTGGTTCTGAAAGGAAAACTTTTATCATTCGTTGAAAATATTCAGAGAGCTTCATCTGAAATAATTCTGGGAACTAACTATTTTATATCATGAGTGATAAATATTCAGGACGCAGTCTTTTTGAAAAAAATTTTAATTTTTTATTTATGCCAACGTTTCAACCGAAACATGTGGGTCTTCTTCAGGGCGTGGTTTGAGCACTGAGTTACCTCAGTACCCTGGTCTGGGCTTATGAAAATTAGTATCTGGGGAGTGTGCTCGCAGAGGAGTGGTTCCCTGCAAGGGCCTATTGATACAGGATGACTTGGCGGCTGTAGTGGCGTCTAACAACAGAGCTGGAATAAAGGAAAAGGCAGAATATAGAGCACATTCTATCAATCTCAGCATAGAAGGTATGGGGATAGGATTGAGTAAGTTGGTCACCTGCCTTGGTATTAGGTTTGGAAGATGATTTAATGTGACCCCTGACTTGGACTACTTGGAAATTGGGTGGTCCTAGCCTTCAATGGCCTTTGTTGCTTGGGAGGGAAGGGGCACAGTTTGAGGCCTCACATACCCAACAATGATGACCATTTATAACAGGGTGATACTAACTATTCTGAGGTATGCTTCTTCTATGTCGTCCAAAAACCTTTTACACTGGCAAAATCGCAGGTTGGCAATGATTCAATGTATTTTCTCTGTTACTTGTCACCAAGTCATACCCAAGTGTGTCTCAGGAGGTGGTTTTGATTATAGATAATAAACAATCTGTAATACAGTAGGGTAGCAAGGTCACAGTTATATAGCTTCTACATGATACAGATCTAAAATTTAGAAAAATTGTACCAATCCATGGATGTCATTTTTACCTTGTTCTACAGGCTTACTCAAAATTTTCAAACTTTGAAAGAAAAAGAGTGAAAGATTAAAAAAAAAAATTTAAAAACTGGTTTCTGAAACTAAAAAATTTTTTTTTAAATTTTTTCTAGAACTGCAGCAAAAATACTTATATTTGTTATCAATGGTCTAACAATAATTCTTAAATTAAATTTCCTGTGTCATACAAAAGTATTATTCCTAAATAATCCAAAAATAAACAACACTGACTAAATTTCAACAGTATATTTCATTGTTTTACTTTCGGCAATCAAACATCAAATAAAGAAACAAACATTGCAAGAATGAGAGAGCCTGGAACTAAAGCTGTTGATTCTAGCACAGCTACGGACTAAAAGGGGTTTTAATTCATAAACATTATTAAAGAAGGCAATTAAATAATATAACTCTACAGACATCGTAGATATTTGGCTGCTTGAAACAGCCATCTCCATCACTGCCTATCTTGGGTTACTGCTTTCCAGTTTAAAGCATGAAGCACAGCCACAGCTGTATCTTTGTTTATCCTATCTATCCATTTGGTTTTTGACCTCCCACGTGGTTTCTTTCCAACTACTCTGGAATTCATTGTTGTGTAAAGGTGTCCTGACGGACTACTTTGAACTATATGCCCTGCCAATCTTAACCTTCTTTCCTTCATATCATGAGATATTGACTGACCAGTTTCTTTATTGTTCCTTCTCCTCCATGTTTTAAGGTTCTGATCCTAAATAGGTCCAGTTATTGTATGGAGGACTTTTCTTTCAATTCTGACTTCTAGGGTGCCAGTTAGTGCCCAGGTTTCACAGCTGTATAGCAGAACTGGCTTTACTGCGATGGATTTTAGTAACCTGAATTTCAGTACCATTGAAAAAGAGAAGAAAGCTCTCTTTGAACTTGTTATTCGCTGTTCTATCTCATTCATTTATTGAGGTTATTGTGGAGCCAAGGTATTTGAATCTATCTACTTTCAGTAATGACTTAGAGTACACACAGATCATGCTATTAGAGAGGATTTTTCGGCTAACTATCATATATCTTGTTTTATCTTCATTGACTTGTAGCTTGATTTGTTCTGCTTCTCTTCACAGAGTCTGAGCGAGTCTCTCAATATCCTCTTGATTGCTTTCGAGGACAGTTATATTATCCGCATATGCTAGGATTTTATGTTTCATTCCGTTGTGTACACCTCAATCTTCACGTGATGTTGTTCTTATTTGTTTCTCAAGGGCTAAGTTGAACAGCATTGGCAAGAGCTGATCTCCCTGCCTCAAACCTGTTTGAACTTCAAAGGCTTCAGATCCGTCTCCTTGTATTAGTACTGTGCATTTAGGATCGTTTGTACATTTCTTTGTCAAACTCACTAACTTTCCAGGAACACCCAGCTCAGTCATAATCTTCCAAAGACAGTTCTGTCCACAGAGTCATAGGCTGATTTGAAGTCGACAAATAAGACGTGTACTTCCTGATCTACTTCCCATCATTTTTTGAGTACTTGTTTTAGGATGAATATCTGGTCTATTATACTCCTCCCTCTCCTGAATCCTGTTTGGTGGTCACCTATTATGTTTTCATAATACGGATATATCTGACTTATATATAAGCAGTAGCTTAATAACCGTGCTGGTGGACGGTGCTGAGACTGTCTGTGTGTCCATGGCCTGAGGTATCGAGGCGCTATTTTAAAACTTTGAAGAGGATCCCCCCATTGTTAACTTATAAAAAAACCGGGATCGAAACATCGAATAAACACAGAAGCAATGAACATTTAGTAGTTTATTGAATAATTATTAAGTGACCTTATTTCAAATTAAATAATTATGTTAATATATATATAATTTTTTTTCAGATCCATGATTTTAAGTCGTAGGGTCAATGACAATGACCACCGAGATGGATTTACTAAATGGCCCTTTATGACTACTCATACATGGGGAGAATATCCCCAAGGTACTTGGACATTGGAGGTAATATATATATATACAAAAAGATTAGGCTATTTTATTAATTATATATCTCTAACAATAATAAATATTAAAACTGCTTCTATAGTTTTATTTTACTGAAAACTTGTTTTGCTGTTGACTCAAAAAAAAAAAAAAAAAAAAATCTGGCTAACTAAATTGAAATATGTGGTATTTGAAGGATATATTAGACAACATCTTCTAAATTAACTATGCTGTCCCTACAACTATTTTAATAATTTTGGTATAAAATATTTGAATTCCAAACACCTTTATGTAGGTTAATTTTTTTGATTATCACAATAACTCAGAATATGGCTTTTAATTAAATATCACATTTCATGATATATTATCAAAATCACTATTTTAATTTGTCTACAATAAATTTTTTTTAAATATTCTATAATTGAATAATTTATTTTAAATATTGTTAAAATATTTTTTTTCAAAAAATAAACCTATCACATATTTGAACTATAATCCAGTTCTTTTTTTTCTTTAACTTTTTAAATATGTATATTTCTATTCATGGATCATAGCCATGTTGCACTTTAAAATGATAAAACATTGCACCTGTGGGAAAACATTACCTCAAAACTAGAATAACTTCTTTGATGATATAAGAAAAAACTATAGAAGTGGCAAAACTTGGTTTCTCAGTAAAACTTAGTTATTTCTCTATGATTTTTTTTTTCTGGCAGAGGAAGATCAAAACATATGAGGACCCTAAGTGGAAAATAATTCTGGGTTTCTAAAAATAAAAAACCTTAAGAAAATGATGACTATCAGTTATTAGGTTGTCCCATAATTTCTGTAATTTTTCTTTATTTGTTGTTTAAGGTTGATTTACTGTGTTATATATGAACCGTTCTACTCTAATACCTTCTCCTATCTCTCAGAAAGCCTCTTATATCCTTTTTCCAAAATTGTTGAGTTTTACTCGCAAAATATTCATCAAGATGCGTTTTTATTTTGCTTTTGGATTTGTGACATTTATCACAGAGAGAATTTTTTAACGGAAGAAACAAGTAATAATCGGAAGGGTAAAGCTCTGGGTAGTATATGGGATGAGGTAGAAAGTCCCAATTAAGCTGTAAGAGTTTCTGTTTTATAGCCAATGAAACACGCGGCATTGGCGATAAGACAGAAACTCTTACAGTTTGATTGGAACCTTCTATCTCATCCTTCATACTACCCTAATCTTTCCCCATCCGATTATTACTTGATTCCTTTGTTAAAAAATTCTCTGTGTGATGTCAGAAATCCAAAGGCATAATAAAAACGCATCTCGATGAATATTTTGCACGTAAGTCTCAACAATTTTGGAAAAAGGGTATAAGAATGGTTCATATATAACACAATAAATCAAACTTAAACAACAAATTAAGAAAAAGGAAAGAACCTATGGGAGAACATAGTAATTTGGTACATTTTGTTTTTAGGATAATTTGATCATTTTATATAGATTTTTTTAAAGACCTTTGCAGTTATTTTTGAAAACTTGGTTAGTTAACAGGACACTGTTCTATCTGGGGTCATACATACATGGCTGCTTAGTCCACTTAATGCTACTACATATTCTTTTTTCTTTTCTTTTTTTTTACCCACAAATTAATATAAATTTCTCTCATTTAACTAAAGTAATTACTTTTAGGTGAGCTTTGCTTCGCCTCCTGACCAACAACAATCTGGGTTCTTCAAAGAATGGACTCTCATGCTTCATGGGACTATGGATGCCCCTTACACTGGCCTGCCAGTATCTGATCCACATTCAAAGTTGGCAATAGTAAAAAAGGCTCATGAGGAGAGAGGCACAACAAAGCACAAATGAGCCTTTTTTTAATTTTTTTTTTTCTGATGAAATTGATTTGAATTCATATCAATTTCATCAGAAAATATTTTCAGGTTGTATTCAATTGAGAAAAGGAAAAAAAGAAAAAAAAAAAAAAAAGAAAAAGATCAATAAAGAAGCATGAAAAAAAGTTAATGCACTTATGCATAAAAAGAATTTATTAATTTCTCAACCTACAATAAGTGTTTAAAAAAACATAGAAACAGCACAAATTTAATCCATTACCAGTAAATCAGGTTATTTTTTTAGCTAATTCAAGAATGAAAGACATTTAAATAAAACAATTTATAAAACAAAATAAATATTTTAATAGAAGAGTTTGTTTGGGATTCAGATCAAATAATGTATATATATATAACAAACTGAAGAAATAATAATAGTGAAATTAAGGCTAAAAATATATTAGTTTAAAACATTTACCATGTTTTATAATGTAGAAAAACATTATAAATAATAAAAGCATGTTTTGTAGATTATTTCAGTATTATATCTTATATAGTGATTTGTAAATATGTTGGCAGCAAATGGTTCTACAAAAGAAATGATTATTGTACAGGTTGAATAAATAATATAATTCAACTACAGGATTATAGAATTATAAGACATGTCCAGAATTATTGATAGCAGGATGTGTGTCTGTATGTATTTGTCTAAATATATAAGTATATACACACACACACACACACACACACACATACACACACACACATATAGTGATTGTTTTCAACTTGCAGTAAAAATAAATAAATGACTAATGAATATTGCTAAGTATCAATATAAAAATATATGGAAAAAAATATGCTTATGCAATCCTAATGATATAGATTTGATGAAATTATGCATTATATAGTACAAGCTTAATACTCTGTATTGGCCCTTAAATTTTTACATGCATGTATAATAATAATGTTGAAGATTTTATTACCTTAGGCAATACGAATTTTTAAGGGAACAAGAAGAACTTGTTAAATAATTGTAAATGACATTAATCATAACAATGGAAAATCATTATCATCTTTGATTTTCATTTTAACCAAAATTTTATTACTATTCAGAACACATGAATGGTAATCATATTGAATATTATACCATAAAGTACCTTTAATTTCAACATGGTCTCATGTTTTATTTTAAATTCAATAATTCATAAATATTTAGTTAGATATTTCAAAAATAAAGTCATAATAACATTTGAAATTAACAGAATTTCTCTACACTTATTTAAATAAAAAAATAAAACAGTTCTAATTTAAATTTATATATTCTTTTTGTTCAATTATTATTTTTAAATTTTAGGTATCTTTAAATTTTTAATTAGCCTGGATCATGTGATATTTTTTATTTAAAATATCTTTAACAATTTTAAATAATATAAAATTATATAGCTATATTTCCATGTTATATTTAATAAAGATAAATATAAAAATATACATAAGGGTACTAAAAATTTACTTTTTGGTTTTATCTAAGCTGTTAGAGATAGAAATTTGATTAAATAATTAAATTTTTGTTCATGGAGTGGTGATTTTATCTTATAGTATAAAATGTCATGCCCTTTAAACTCTTTCTAAATATGATTTTTATTAATGAATGCGTGTATGGGTAAGTATGAATGTGTGTTCTTGGACATGTATGCTTTGTGTAATGAAATAAATATGACATAATTTCATAGCGTGTGCAGAAAAAAAATTCAAATTATAGTCTTCCAAGAAGGTTCTCACTATATGGTAAGCTCTTAAATATTTCTGTTCAAAGGTTTATGATATACTGAAATATGTTTTTAATTGGTTATATAAAACAAGTTGATTATGTATATATTTTTTTTTTGGTTATATAAAACAAGTTGATTATGTATATTCGTTTCTTTTGCTTGGATTTATTTTCCAAAATTCAATATTTCTGAGAGGATTTCATTTTTATTGATGGATTTATTTTTCCCAATTATAAGTTTTATTTACTTAAAATAGTAGTTTGAATGGTATTAAGAGTGTCATTATGTTGTATAATGCAATAAGGCCTAAATTGCATAGTATAACAATGTTGTAATGACTATATTTTGTTAAGGATGTTAAGCATTTAAACAAAATTATGGTCTCAGCAATAATTTACCGATTGACACTGGTAATATCATTCAAATGAATTCCTTCAAATAGTATCCTTAAGCCTATTTTATTTAGTGCCAAATTAAACTCTTTGCGTATATGTTAATTATATCCATCATAGATTATTCTATCTAGGGCTTAACTTTTAATTGTATATTATCTTAAATTTTTTATTAATTGTCTTCAATATTTTGATGAGTGATGCCTTCATTCTCTAACAAAGTTCTGGCATGATAAAATAATTATATTTTTAATTTAGATGTCTATTTGTAAATACTATTTACTAAAGTTTCTTTTCTGATATTTAAATTTTTATTTAATCAAAGACTTAGTCACAGTGTACATCAAAATAACTGCACCATATGTGACACAAGTATTCACAATTAATTGCTTTATCTCAAAGAAAGAACCACTAACAACTGTCGGGGGATTAATTCTTTTGGGCTGGTCCTTTCCCCTTCACAATTTCTTTGAGTCTTAATCTTTTAAAATTATTTTGGAGTTAATTAAATTTTGTTAGTGCCAAATACTGAAAATCAAAACTGTTATTTTTACTCACTATAAGGCTTAAATAGCCTATAGGATAGCTACCTTATTGTTTCACTGGATTAAGAAAATCCTGCCTACACATTTTTTTTATTTACAATTCAGATGTTTTTATAACTGTAGTGTTAGATGTGATATCTCAGTACTATTGGGCACAAATAAGTAATATAGATTACTATTACTTATCTATAAGTAATATAGATCGTCAATAAGATTGCATTCACTAACACATAGCAATGTGTACAAAGTTTGTTTTGAGGTATTAAAGAGCACAATGAAGTGGCAATTAATAAAATAAATAACCTGCATATAATAGTATCAATTTGCATATATTACTTTCACTTATTTACTTGTTTTAGATAGATTTAATTATTCGTAATAATCTTTAACCAATAATGGTAGTTCAATTATTGGAAACAGGCTCATATTAAATTGTTTTACGATTTTTGATTTATTATTTTTGTAGATGAAATAGTTTTATTAATGAATAGCTTAATGCCTTTGAAATCTTTTGTTTAGATTAGTAAGTCATGTAATCAATAAATTGGAACATTAAATTACTAACAATAAATATGAAACCAAAAAAAAAAAATGGTCAGTTAGAAGTTTCTACATATATTTAGGTGAGAATATAATAGAAAACAAATGGTATTAACTGCTGGTCAGTTCATGCCAGATAAAGAAAGTTATTGTTTGGAAACATTGCTTAAGAAAAAATCATAATGAACTATATAATGCTTTAGGATATAGTGCTGGATTATTTTTTACCTCTGAATTTTATAAACTATTTACATATTTCCAAAATTATGTTTTATTAAGATAGAATTAATTGATAACTCATCTCATTTTGTGCTTTTCGTTTATTATACTTGTTTATGAATAAATTTACTCAATAATAATGAGCACACAAATATAGAATATTACAGGATTAATTTAATAATGATTACCATATAAGTTTTGAAATTTAGTTGCCTTGATAAAATGTCTTTACTTTCTGCCATATCCTGAAATAGCTGTTGTGTTAAATGTTTATTAATTTTATTATAGAAAATATGTTAATAATTTAGTAATAAAAATCCTGATTTAAGCTTATTTGTTCAACAAAAAGTAAAAAATGAGATTTTGTGTTTAGAATCCTATCTAGTTACTACAGTTTAATAAGTTATTTTGTCTGTATTTCAGTGAATAAAGTAAACACATGTAATGAGCTAAATGTAAATTAAAAGAATAAAAATTATAAGCAATAATTATTTTACTATGCATGATACTAAAAAGATAATGATTCCGTATTAGAGCATATAGGAATGTAGTATATGTAATGTATTTGTGTAACTAGTTTCCTATTCAACATATTGTCCTTACATTTTCTCATCAGCATTATTTTTGTAGTGTTTTAGGTATGACAGAACAAAAAGTATATTAAGCGCATATACCTAATAATTTGGTGTAAATTGAATTTGAAATATAACCCATATATGTTAAATCTAATTGTAATGTTCATTCTGATCACTTTATGAGACAATTAACAAAACAAAATATAATAAATCTAAAGGGCAGGTATTTTATTTTGCTAATGTAAATGTAAATAGCTTAAAAACAGTACATATTCTTACTCCTCTGTCACATTTTTGTAAACTAAGTGACTAAAGAAAAAATTTAAATATATTCATCGATTTGAGCTTATTTTAATAAGAGTAGGAACAGGTAAATTTATTTATTATAGACATCATTATAAGGATTTTATATTTTTATGTATAGTATAACAAAAGTTTTTATTGGAATCCAGATAATATAAACGTTGAATAAAGCATCATGGTTGAAGAAATAAGAAGTACAATATAGTGAGATTTGATGGGAGAATGCTTAGTCATAATAGAATTTGTTTGAGCTCTGAAATACATTTTATTTTTATTTAAATTTAAACAACTATTACATATATTTATTATATTAATATTTGAAGTTTCATAATGTCTCTTTGGATAAAAAACAAAAATGAAAGATTATCTTTTTTTAATATTATTTTTATTATAAAAATACATTGTTTTATTTTTTTTAAATAAAATATTTTAATATTTTAGATGTAACCGGATATTATAAAAACAATTGTTTCTTCAAGCTTGATCATTATAATATAGAACATAGGGTCCAAATTGATTTATTTTTAGAAAATGTGATATTTTTATAAATAGAAGAAGTAATTTTTTTTTCTATTTCCTAGTTCAAATAAATTCTAAATTGTTTAAAAAGAACCATTATTTAGAAAGATATATTTTTAAAGATCTGACTATACTGTGTTATATTCTAAAATAAAGTGTTTTATTTCATGCATCC